CACAGGACCCGGCCGGCCCGGCGACCGGGCATACCATGCCCGGGCCCAGAGTGGGCGGGGCATCCACCGCGGAGCTAGTGGCCGACGCGAAAGACTTCACGGCGAGGTTCGATGCTAATACACGCAGTTGGACAGTGGCCTGGAAGTGGGCGGACGGAGTCGCACCAGACTGTCTGACCAACCGGGTCGCCGAGTACCGCGTGCCACCGTCAGCGCGGCAGGAGTATGACGAGGAGCTCGAGACGTGGCTGAGGAACGGCTGGCTGCAGCCCTACAATGAAGCAGAGGACGGTCCGCCGCGCGGCCTCGTGCCCTTGATGGCCGTCCCACAAGCAAAGAAGGTGCGCCCTGTACTGGACATGCGAGAGCTGAACGGTCACGTAGCTGCATACACCGCCGACTCGGACGTGTGCGCCGACCGCCTGCGGAAATGGCGCCGCCACGGCCGGCGGGTGGCCGTCGTAGATCTGCGGCGAGCGTACCTGCAGCTGCGTCTCGACCGGAAGCTATGGCCGTATCAGACAGTGATCATCCGTGGTGAGCGATTCTGTTTGACCCGCCTTGGTTTTGGACTTAATGTAGCGCCGGCCGTGATGAAGGCGGTGGTGCGGCTCGTCATGGCGCAGGATGCAGCAGTGGAGCGCGCCGTCTGTCCGTATGTGGACGACCTGCTTGTGGATGAGGCTGTCGTCAGTGCTGAGCACGTGGTCGAGCACTTTGAGCGTTTTGGGCTCGAGTGCAAGCCACCGGCACGCGCCGAGGACGGCGCTCGGATGCTGGGACTCCACGTGCGGCGTGTGGCGGGTGAGCTGCGGTGGTCTCGTGACAGTGCTGTCCCCGACCCGCCCGACCGTGTGACGCGCCGATCGGTATTTGCATGGTGCGGCAGGCTGGTGGCGCACCTCCCTGTCTGCGGCTGGCTGCGACCCGCCGCCGCCTGGGTGAAACGGCGCGCCAATGCCGTCACGCGCGGCTGGGATGACGTCACGACCGACGCGCTCCTGCAGTCTCAGATCTCGCACGTGCACTCCCGGCTGCTAGCGGCGGACCCGGCGCGGGGCCAGTGGTGCTGGACCGGGGATCAGGCAATCGTCTGGACAGACGCCAGCTCGATCGCGGCTGGAGTGGTCATCGAGACACCGTGCGGTGGCGTGATGGAGGACGCCTGCTGGCTCCGGCCCGGCGATGCCGCAGCGACCCACATCAACATGGCCGAATTGGATGCCGCCGTTCGCGGCTTGAACCTGGCCGTGGCGTGGGGCGTGACAAACATCGACCTAAGGACAGACTCGGCGACAGTGCACCGCTGGGTGGACGACGCGCTCAGCGGCCGCGCCCGCCTCCGGACGAAAGCGGCCGGTGAGATGCTAATCAGACGCCGTGTCGACCTCATTCGACAGCTGGCCAACGAACTGGAGCTCAAGGTCACCGTCACGCTGGTTCGCTCGGAGGAGAACCTCGCCGACGCCCTGACGCGAGTGCCGAAGGAGTGGCTGCGTGACGAGTGTGAAGAGAGCAGGATGTCGGTGACGGCCGATGACGGAGCCGGCGACTCGGCCGCCCGTGGGCAGGTGGTCGTTGGTGCTGGTGCTGCAGATGCCGTCAGGTCGTCTGTGCAATCGGTGCACGAGCGGGCCGGTCACCCTGGCGTTCGTCGGACGCTGTTTTTCGCGCGGCGAGATGTGTCTCGAGACGTGACGAGGGCTCTGGTGCGCGCGGTCGTGACGACTTGTGATGTGTGCCGATCGATAGACCAGGCGCCTGTGCGGTGGCGGTACGGCTCGCTAGAGGTGGCGGCAGTATGGGAGCGCGTCGCGATGGACGTGACCCACCACCAGGGGCGGAGCTACCTAACCGTCATCGACTGCGGGCCCACGCGGTTCACCGTCTGGCGCCCGCTCGGCCGTGCCGACGCAGTGGAGGTCACCGGCCACCTGGAACAGATCTTCCTTGAGCGCGGCGCGCCCAAAGAAATACTGGCGGACAATGACACGGTGTTTCGGGGCCGGCGACTCGCCTCGCTCGTGGCACGGTGGGGCATTGCCCTGAGATTCCGCGCCGTGCACGAGCCGGGCGGCAATGGCGTAGTGGAACGGTGCCATCGAACTGTCAAGGTGATCGCGGCTAGGAGGCGGTGCCCTGTGTCCGAGGCCGTCCACCTCTACAACGTCACTCCTCGTGACGGCCGGACGGCGGACACCGCGCCAGCGGCCGGGGTGTACCGCTACGCGGTGAGAGACTGCGTCCGCCCAGGGCATACGCCAGTCGATACCGACGGGGATGGCGCCCAGCCTGCGCCAGCGCTGACTCAGCCGACCGACACCCGGCTCCGGGTAGGGGACCGTGTGTGGGTGCGGCGCCGCGGCACCCGCTGTACCGAGACGTCTCAGCGCGGGACGGTTACGGGCGAGCTCTCAGAACAGGTGCTGGAGGTGGACGGCGTTCCGTGGCACGTCCGTAACCTGCGACCGCGGTACGAAGCGTCCTCGGACAGCGGGGATGACAGTGAAGAGGCCGACGAATCGCCGCCACTGCTCGTTGGCTCCCCGCCGGCCGCACTGCGAGCTGAACATGACGCGCTGAACGGGGCGGCGCCCCCCGATGAGCCACAGACTGAGTCACACGGGATAGATGGGACGGTGCCGCCTGGCGAGGGGTCGGAACCGTTTTCGACGGAAGGGGAGCCGGCGGAAGCGGCAAATATCCCCCCGCCCCGTCACAGTGAGCGTGCCCGGCGACCGCCGCCGCCGTGCAGCTGCTGCACCCAGCCGGAGTGATGACTCTTACGTGAGCGGTGAGCACATGTGCGTTTGATATTGTTTTGTTTGTTTGTATTGTTTGTATTATGTGTTTGTATTGCCGTATCGTGTGTTTGTATAATTGTATGTATGATTCTGGAAAATCAGGGGGAGGTGTGGCGTGATACCGGGGTCGTGGTATCCCGTCCCCGGCGCCGATGTTAGAGACGGTACCTGGTCCGGGCTGTACCGGGCCCCGGACTGTACCGGGCCTCACTGTCAGAGGCGGGACGACAGTAGTGTTTCATTTTTCAGCCTTTTTGGTGGCAAATCACACCTAATGGGGAAAATATTTTCATCCCTAAAATATGAATGACCGACTTTACTTCATCTCTGAAAAGAGTTTCATGTACTCCCAACATGAAAGTTCACTCGTCACTTGACAGTTGATGCACCCACATCCTTTTGTTCCACACCCTGTCAAGATCCTGACTTGAAATCCTGGTTTATCAGTTAGCATAAAAATTGGCATTACACCATTTTGCAAAAATACTGCAGTTATTTACTTTCTTTTTTCTCATCCTAGGATTTTTTTCTTCATCGGCACACCCAACCAATATCCAATTTTAGAACACTGGACGACAGGGGGTCTGGGGACGGAAGGACCGGGTGGGCTCTCGCGCTGTGTGACTGGGAGTGTGCGGTGGCCCGTCTCGCGTGTGCAGTGGCCCGTTTCGCGCTATCGGACAAATACAGCCTCTGAAGACCCTTTGCCGGCCTGAGGAGTGAGGACACCTTGCCGTTCCCTAAGAATCCCCTGCCGGCTTGCGAAGGGTTCGCGACAGCAGCTCCTACGGCCCACAGGCCACACACATCTGTGACGAATGTACATATATGCTTATTTGCTTATCTGTTTATTTTGATTTTTTTACCAACTGATAAGTGACACAAGATTGGTAGAGCTCAGCGAACACTGGTAGGGCCCAAATAAACATTGGTAGGGCTCGGGCCCTACCAGGCCTATACAAAACGACGCCCCTGGCGTTTCAGGCAAGCGGAATTTACTTTTTGTGAAGTTTTTTGACTGCATTTTTGGTAAAAGCTTCTCAGATCATGATTTCATGTAATATGGACACATAAACAATCGGTGCACACATCAGTATACACACAGACACACACAGACATACAAACACATATAATTGACCTTGACCTAACTTGACCTGAAATGACCTCAGCAGCAAAAACCTGGTCGGGTAGTGTGAGAAAGAGGTTCTAGCTGGCTTGGCACCAGAAAACGGCATCGTCATCGGTATATGATAAGCAGCGCACTTGATATCCAACGGTGACCCAAAACAGCAATGTTTTTTAGTTTGACCTGACCTGGAAGGTCAATGACTGACCTGAGAAGGTAAAACTGGGTATCATTGGATTCGTCTCTTCCCAAAGAATCTTTTTGGTCCTTACCGCTAAGCTCTATCTCCAACAGGAACGAAATGGCGCGGGGGGTGGCAACCACCCCCCCCCCCCATGTGCGTTCTAGGATGGGAAAATGGCATGTGCGGGCGAGGGTTAAGAGACATGCTTGCGATACCGTTTCAATCGGCAACTGTCATGGTGTAGGTTGTATAAGATGTGACTATGTGAAAAACAATATGCGAGCTTTTCTGTCATTTTTACCCGTCAAATAAAACAAGCAACCATCCTGCCGGCTGCCAATCTAGCAGATTTTGATCTCCATCGCGTAAATATGCATGAATTTCAATTCAGGCCTGCTATTTAGGCTCGATGCTTGAACTTCAATTGAGGCCTGCCATTTGGGCTCATCACAAAACACGGGTCAAGCGACGTGGAGGGCCGCGAACTCCCTGCCACCTGCCACCGAGTTAGGAGACCGACGTCTTATCCACCCTAGGCCACGGGGAGGACCACAGTAACATAACATAATAATTTTTAGTAGGTTTGTGTAATTGTCATTAATTGCGTTTCTTGTAACAACAACACAGCATGACAACAGTAAGCTCTATTGTCATGCTGTGCTACACTACATTGAATGTGCATCGACTGGGAGTGTTGTTGTTCATCCATCATCCATCTGGTACATCCATCATCAACTCATAGCAATGGACTGTTAGTCTGAAATACAAATCTATCTGTCTTTCTATCTATCTATCTATCTATAACAAAGCGTTGCCTTATGGGATAAGTTCGATTTGTTTGTTTTTTATCTCGGGAATATATAAACATACTTCTCAATGGTAATAGCAAAATGGCGGCGACTGTTCAAAATAATATGAGCCACTTTGACTTAATTTATTGCAATTTCGGTAAAAGATTTAGCGGCGTTTCAGTTTGCATGGTAATTCCATGGTAATTGGGTAATTCATTCGTTATTACAAATATTGCAATCAGATCAATCAGTCACCCAATCATACGCAGATATTTGCTGCGGAATCGCTGTTTGCTAACCTTGTCCTTAGCCGGTGAGCTTGAATTTTCTTTTCGTCCTACAGCAACTTGAATCGCATCACGCGGAAATCAATTGAAATTGAAAAACGCCCATCACTTTCTTGAATATGGATTGAATCAAGCAGGCTGGGACGTAGCAGGTGAAATGTTAGGTTGGGTACTCGGTAACATGATTGAAAGAAGGGGACCTTAAGTCGGCTGTGCCCCCCCTTGATTGAAGGTGTTCCGCCGCTACTGTTTAAGGAATTGGGCCTCCCACCATAGAGAATAAATGAATTGGCATAAAAGTGGTGTTGCCTGGTTCAGATTGAGCAAAACTGAGTCTTTGCCAAATTTCATTGAAAAATAACCGGTTTCTGACATCTTGACAATTACATTAGGTACTTTTATTTATGTTTAGGAGCCTTCACTGTTCCTTTGAAGTCATTTCAATTTGGAAGCAATCTGCAATATTTTGGTATCTTAAAAGTGCAGCAGATGTTGCAGCATATACCACCACTGCTTCACAAAGATGTTATTATAAGAGTATAGCTAAATCTGCGCTGACGTCACATATTCAGAGGGGGTATTTAAATGCATTAGCCCCTCTGAATCCAAAGTGCTGTAACTTTGAAAATAGATATATACTAGGGTGACCCGCTTGCTCCCCAATGCTATAAGGGGTACTTTCGATCGGTGGGTGTTTGGTTGTTCTTGTGTTGGTTGGGTTTATCCATTTCAGTCAATAGCTTTTTGACTGCTAAGCAATTTGGTTTGGAAAGAATATCCATTGCATCAAGGTGCCTGTGTTGTCTGATAAGCAAGCTTTCTACTTCAAGTTCAGAACCTGTCATTAGAGTTCAGTGAACCTGTCAAGTGTGTTTTATAATTTCGGTGCACAGTTTTATGACAAAGGAAAGCCGTAGATAAATTCCGCTAAAATGGTTATGCAGAGGATGGACGCTTGAGCCCTGGCAGGTACGTGCCCTAATCCAACAAGAACAAGGTGATGCAGAGGTTTGAAACATGTATATTTTTAAGAATACTATTGCGGGTCATGCAAAATGATAAATGGATCTTAGAGAGAATTGAATGCTCTTTCTAATGATACCATTTTCAATTGTTAAACTTATCAGGTTATGCAGCAAAAACCGTGTAATTATTTAGTGGCACATTACAGGTCCCAAAATTTGTAGATGTGGGTGGGAAACGACATCCAAATGAAAATCATTTTCCACTCTCACCTCCAGTTTTCAAGCCCAATTTTCCACTCCCAATTCCACCGAAAGGAGCAATTGCGTGAATGGTTGTTTTGCATCTGTCACAATTGTTGATAGATTAATGTTTTTGTCATTTTCCCACTCTTTTTGGACCTAACCTGACCGACAATTTTTCACTCTCATCCTTTTTTTGGTCAGCAATTTTCCCCTCTGACACCCAAGCAAAAATATAATTTTGGGACACTGGCACATTATGGACAAATGCCATTTTCTCCAGCGATTTGTTCCGCCTTGTTATTGATCAATTAGCTTTTCACAATTTTCCATGAAAGGTGGTACAGTTAGCTTGCCAGTAAGCGTTGTTTGAACTTGCTCCATCTGACAGTCACCCGAAAATAGCATAAAGTCCAAAATCCGTCCGAAATGTCAATTTTCCAAATAAAAGTGCCCTCTCCGGTGCACGTGGCGCGTGCCATTTCCATGCACTGCACACCATTCGATTGCCCATTCAATTCTCTACACGATGCTGTTTTCCCCGTATACCGATCGGGCCCACGGTTACAGAGATATTGCACGGGGATCGGACCCGTGTCGGTTAAATTTAGTCATTTTTGCTCGATTTTGCAAGCCGATTTATACATGTAAAGTCTATGACGCGAATTTGCACTTTTTGGGCGCGCGCCATGTGCTCACCATCGGCCCGATCGAACTGAGACCCCTCAAAGGCACGTTGTCCATCCTTGTTCTATAAGTTGCACAAATTTCAGCGCGCCAGGTGCGACGGTCTAACCTGTGACCCGCGCTACGTAGCGTTACCTAAGCTTCTAGACAGTGACAGACCCTCCCACCACTCACCAGGCATGGCACAGATCCCAGGTCAACCAGTCACGAAAACTGAGATGGCCATTAGATTGACGGTCTTCAAGTCTGGAATTATGGTGGAAAACATGACTGCTAGAAGTCTCGCAATGAACCAACTATTTTGCATTCTTTCAGAGTTCGTTCTGAGGAAATCCGCGAAGAGTACTAGCTGGCCGCTGATCAGGGCTCAGATAAAGGCTAGCAAATCAGTTTGACATGCTAGAGGTCATTAATATTTTTTGAGCTATGATAGAGAATCAGTGGTGAAATGTGCTACAATCGCTATATGCATTTATAGGTAGCATCATTAGCATTATCGTCATTGTCTGCAAAGAAAATAAATCACTGTAAATACTGTAATAGCATTACAGTATTTACAGTGAATAATAGCATTGAATATTCATGAGCACTCAACTTGCTAAATTCCATCAAAGTCGTAATATTTCAACTTGCCTTGTCATGTTGCTGCTTCTGCTGGACAAAAGCTGTTCTAGATCCACAGTACCTACTGCAATTATACTGAGACACATTTATACCAGTTGGGGATATTCTATAGGTAAAAGTGATTTCAGTTCTGTTATACTTAACCCGACACATCTACGCTAACTTTGAGTATGACCTTTTATTATTCATTTTTACAGGTTCTGTAACATCCACTTCCATCTTCAATACTAAGCATCACTGATTCAGCATCTTCACTAGCTAGCTCATCACCCTCATCACCTTCAGCACCTCCTCTGTCATCACCAGCACGATGCCTTCGCGATCGGGCACTGTGAAGATCTTCCTGGGTAACCTGAGTGACTCTGCGACACCAGATGATGTACGGCCTCTGTTTGAGGAATATGGCACCGTGGTCGAGGCCGATGTCATCAAGAACTACGGCTTTGTGGTGAGTGAAGGGGAGAGGGGGTCGAGGCTGATGTCATAAAGAACTATGGCTTAGTGGTTTGTGGTGAGTGAATACAGGGGAGAGCCTGGTGGTTGAGGCCGACGTCATAAAGAACTACGGTTTTGTGGTGAGTGAAGGGGAGAGGGGGTCCAGGCTGATGTCATAAAGAACTATGGCTTTGTGGTGAGTGAAGGGGAGAGGTGGGGGAAGTCAATGGCATAAAGATTACGGCTTTTGGGTGAGTGAAAAACAAGGGGAGAGGTGGTGGAGGCTGATGTGATAAAGAACTATGGCTTTGTGGTGAGTGAAGGGGAGAGGTGGGGGAAGCCAATGTCATAAAGAACTATGGCTTAGTGGTTTGTGGTGAGTGAATACGGGGGAGAGGTAGTAGATGCTGATGTGATAAAAAGCTGTGGCGTTGTGCTGGGTGTGAAAAACTATGGCAGTGATGTATGGTTAGAAAAGTTTGCCTGGATGGGTGGGTAGGGTGAGAATATTGGTATTTGATAGTTTGTTTGCAGGGAGAGGTCGACCTCAATAGGACATCTTGTATTTTGGGCTTTGTTTTACATTTAACCTATCTATGTTACGACCTTAATTGGCCTCTAAGTAACTTCTTTCGTGACCTCGTGCTAACCTTTAACCATCATAAGACCTTTTTTGACCTCCATGTAATCATTAATGCCTTGGCCTGTCCCTGGCTCTCCAACAGATCTGTGTCAAACCTTTGATTACCTATCATAACTCCTATCTAGCTTCTGATTTTCATAGACCCCATCTGACCTATCTAGCCATTTCATCTCTATTTAACCATTTTAACCTCTCTGACTCAAATGACCTCTGAGCTATGTAACCACTGACCCCTATATAACCCGCATCTCAACCTCTACATGGCCTTAATATGACTCCCATCTCTGACCCTGTATGACCCCTGTATGACCACTACACGACCTTGTCTCGGGCCCATCTCTGACCCCTAAAATACCTCATGACCCCTATTTTACCTCTATTTAACCTATTTAACCTCTATCTGACTCCTATATGACCGCACATGACCTATCTGACCCATATACGACCTCTATCTGACTTAGTATCTGACCCCTATATTGCCCCTATATAACCTCCTATCTGATTCCTATATGACACCATATGACCTAGGTATCTGACCCGTATACGACCTCTGTCTAACCCCCGTAGGACCTATCTGACTCCTATACGACCTCTATCTGTTCTCTATACAACCCCTACATGACCCCTATACTACCTCTATATAATCCCTATGTGACCCCTATATGACCTCTGACCCCCCGCGCAGCACATGGAGAGTGAGCCGGACGCACAGCGGGCCATCGCCGCTCTGAACGGTAAAACGGTGCGCGGAAAGCCAATGGTGGTCGAGATGTCAACGGGAGTGAACCGACGCAGCCAGGCCAGACGCGGGAGGTGAGAGGGGAGTGGGCCCAGCTTTCTATGGGGGTTAGTGGGGAGTTTTATAGGGGTAGACTCTTTTGGTGGAAGCCAGAAGGAGACATGTACAGGGTTGGGAGGGATGATGGGTTGGGGGGATGTTGGTTTGGGTGGACACACTGGTGAGTCGTCGGAGCTGAGCCCGTCCCGAGGACAGGCCACTTAGTCCCACTAAAGCCTGAATCAGACTCTTTTCGTAGTCAGGAAATCGCATGCGAGAGCCTATTCAAGCACATGGAAGCACGCTCGTATCAATCGCACGCACCTCTCTCATGTGATTGATACCGGACGAACTACAATGTATTTGAATAGGCTCTCGTATGCGATTTCTTGCATGCGGAAAGTCTATTTCAGCCTTAACGGTCACCCCACCACCCGATAGGCCTGATTCTGAGGAGTTACTAACGTCGAATTAAGGTGACTGTCCAGCCCGGATCAGGGGTTGAGGTTTGTAGGAAAGGGATTTGACTGTCCCGAGGGTGGAAACGATGGAATGGTGAACAGCTCATGGATGTTGGTTTAATATAGGTCTGATGGTGTCCAATCCCAACCAAGACTCTCTCTGCGTGTTTAAGATCTGAAATGCTACAGTTCATCCTGTTTCTCTTCAGATGTAAGATTTGTCTATTTTAGAAATATCCACAAATACCCCGCAATCGCTCCAAACTAACACTCATTTTCCCTCAGCCGTATGGTCTGATATTCGTCGGAAATATCCACTAATACTCCACAATCGCTCTAAACAAACACTCATTTCCCTCACCCTCAGCTGTAAGATATTCGTCGGAAATCTCCACAAGGACTCCAAAATCGCTCTAAATTAACACGCATTTTCCCCCAGATGTAAGATATTCGTCGGAAATCTCCACAATTTGTACACTGAAGTTGTCTGAACAAGCACCCCGTTTTCTCCCCAGATATAAGATATTCGTCGGAAATCTCCACGAGGACTCCACAATCGCTCTAAATTAACACCCGTTTTCCCCGGATGTAAGATTTTCGTCGGAACTCTAAATTAGTACGCCTAAGTTGTCTAAAAAAGCACCCCATTTCTCATGCAGATGTAAGATATTCGTCGGAAATCTAAACAAGCGCTCTTATCTAACACTCATTTCCGCAGATGTAAGATATTCGTCGGAAATCTCCACAAGGACACGACAACTGACGAGCTGCGCGGCCTGTTCCTTCCGCACGGGAATGTCGTCGAAGCGGACATCATCGCCAACTACGCCTTCGTGGTAAGTCCTGTCACTAACGTCAGAGGCTAGTGTGACTGTGACGTCAGTGCATGTGTGATGTCATATAATTGTTTGATGTCATGTCTTTGTGATCATATGATGTCATGTAATGTAGCGTCATATGCGGGAGTTATGACTGTGTTGTTGGGTAGTTATTGCATATTGTTTGATGACATTATGATATTATTTGTGATGTTACATTGCATCGTGTGTGTTATTACGGAGCGAGCGAAGCGAGCGGAGTCTTACGTAGAATAACGGAAATTTCTGAGTATGAGCGGCCGGCCGGCCGGCCGGCCGTGCGGACGCTTTTGCGAGGCTTATATCTCAGCAACCACTTGACCGATTTACATGCGGTAATTTTTGTAGGGTAGCTTCATTCCTTCTACCAAGTATTGGACTATTCCCGATGCATGTGGGTGACCCCTTATGCACGTGCCACGTGCAAAACGAAGAGGTGTCACTTTTGTAATTGTTGCAATATCTCGGTAACTACTTGGCCGATTGCGCTGAAAGTTGGCATGTAGGTAGGCACCCACTAGGCACTGCATATCCATGTGCCAGAGTTGGGGTGCTGCTGCACGTGCGCACGTGCAGGGGTCGATTCCAGATCTCGAGAACGGCTGGACCGATGGCGCTCAAATTTGGTACACAGTTAGCGACCGGTTAGTAGGGTGCCGTGCACAAGTCAGTTGGGACCCATTTTGCACGTGCGCACGTGCAGGGTGCCGCTCCCAGATCTCGAGAACGGCTGGGCCGATTGTGCTCAAATTTGGCACATTGCTAGAAACCGGTCAGTAGGGTGCCGTGCACAAGTCAGTTGGAGGTACCCCCTCGAAATTTCGCACGTGCAAGACTCACCCCCTCGCTCGCTCCGTTAGTCGCCCCAAAAGGCGCTATACTGGTAATTTATGAAATCATTGAAGATGTGTGAAATAGATAATGCATTATGTTTTGTAAAGTCATCTATGATATGCTCCTATGTCATCTCCGCTGCTTTACCAAGTAACTGAGCCAAACCAAATAAACGCTTACCTCTCCTTACCCCCTAACCCCCTCCTTTACCCCTCACCGCTTACCCCCATAACCTCCCCGTTACCCCTTCCCCAGCACATGGAGACCGAGGACCAGGCCCAGGCGGCTATAGACGCCCTCCAAGGTGTTCAGCTTCACGGCCAGGAGGTCCGTGTACAGCTGTCCACGAGTAGTGTCAGGCCGGTCCCGGGAATGGACAGGGCGGATATCTGCTTCAGATGCGGCAGTCCCGGACATTGGAGTAAAGATTGTGGACGGTGAGCAGGGGAGGAGGGAGGGGGAGGGATGGGGAGGGAGGGAGAGAGGGGGAGAGAGTTAGAGGGGACGGGGAGGGCCGAGGGGGAGGGGAGGAGGGAGGAAGAGAGGGAGAGAGAGAGAGAGAGAGAGAGAGAGAGAGAGAGGGGAAGGAGGGAGGGAGGGAGGGAGAGAAGAGGAGGGTATGGATAGAGGGGGAGCGAGAATCCACCGTCTGATGAATAAATGCTTGTTACATGGGTCAGAGAAAATATGTTTTGTTCTACCTACTTGTTATCTATTTACCCACCCAGTCAATAGGAAGTCCCATGTAAGAACTTCTCTTCTACTGCCCATACAGTCGAAGGGGTTCAATGATTTATTGCCTTATGATTCAATTATTATTGCCAATGATTATTGCCCCTTCACACAGCGAAGAAAAATAGTCATAATAAACCTACTCCATGATTCTCCCCATCCAAAGGGTTTCCTTGTCATTACCTCCCGACCCTTCTCTTTCAAAACCAAGAGGCATCCCGTCCCGTGTTAACTTTCCCCGTCTCCACAGCCAAGAAGTAGCGCCGAGCGCCTACGCTGCCGTGCCCGCGGCGGCGGTGGACTGGAGTAGCTACTCCGCGGCTACGCTGGGTGCCCGAGAGAGGGCTCGCTACGCTCCCTACCCGGCCTACGCGCCTCCGCCGGCCTCGTACAGACGCGAGCCCTACTATGAGGTGAGTAGACTGTCGGCTTTGGTATTTATTGAGTTATGTGCGAGTGTATAATGTTAACACTACGGCCTCGTACAGACGTGAGCCGTTTTATGAGGTGAGTAGGACTGTCGGTTTTGGTATTTATTGAGTTATGTGTGATTGTATAGTGTACGGGTATGTGAGCTGTCAGTTTTGGTATTTATTGAGTTATGTGTGAGTGTATAGTGTTAACCCGCGCACCGACGGGGGTCTGCGCCACCTTAGTACCGACGGGGGGGGGGGCGGATGACCGCCCCCCCCCCCTGAGATCTCGAGAACGAAGCAAGATAGCGACAAGCGGTAAACGGCATCGGATACGCACGGACAAGGTCTACAATTTTTACAAAGGTCATTTTCAGGTCAGGTCAAAGATGACGTCACAGGGGTCGAAAAAGTCAAAATGGCGGCGCTAGATATGGAGAGGGTTTTTCTCGAATAACTTTCGAAGTAGTCAAGATAGGAACAAACTAAGGGCATCATCGTGATCCTCTCGTCAATCCGCATCGAATGATATATATGTTGACCTCGAAAGGTCAAGGTCAAAGGTTGACCTCAGGTCACGTGACCTCGAGGTCATCATGTATATCATTCGATGCGTCTTGACGAGCTGAACACAATGAGACCATCCGCGCGGCTGTATCTTGTTCCTGTAAGGAGTTATTGGCAAAAAACCTTTGGTGACCTTTGATGACGTCACATGACCTTACAGCTGCCCAACAGCAAAACAGACCTCAAGGTAGTGAAGGTTGATCGTATGTGAAGTCATGTATGGTATATGGGGCCATTCCGACCCGTTTTAGTGGTAAAAACAGGGAGTTGATTTTTCCCCCATTGACTTATAATGGGGAGGTCGCGAAATTGACCTGACCTTAGGTCACCGACATCAAAATTCCGAGATATACAAATTGTAGCTACTAATGACCTAATAACATCCTGCGACTTTCAAAGGCCTCCGACATCTACTGTAGCTCTGGCACGGTGACAAAGTTGCAAAAAAGTGACTTGAGGTTGGGTCATTCAAAGTGACCTGGTGACCTGACCTTAAAAGTTAGGAGGTTCAAACTTGCACACCCTGTGTAAAATTGATGAGAGAATAGTCATACCAAATTTCGCGGCGCTACGCGCCGCGGTTTTCCCGCTATCCGCGAAAAACCTCAGGGGGGGGGGGGCGGATATCCGCCCCCCCCGTCGGTGCGCGGGTTAACACTATGGCCTCGTACAGACACGAGCCGTATTGTGAGCTAAGTGAGCTGTCGGTTTTGGTATTTATTGAGTTATGTGTGAGTGTATAGTGTTAACACTACGGCCTCGTACAGACACGAGCCGTTTTATGAGATGAGTGAGCCGTTTGTTGGTATTCGGTTAGTTATTTGAGGGATAAAACTACGGTGATCCGCTTGCTCCGCAACGCGAATAAGGGGTATTCTCTCTCTCTGTCTCTCTGTCTCTCTGTCTCTCTGTCTCTCTCTCTCTCTCTCTCTCTCTCTCTCTCTCTCTCTCTCTCTCTCTCTCTCTCTCTCTCTCTCTCTCTCTCTCTCTCCCTCTCCCTCTCCCTCTCCCTCTCTCCCTCCCTCCCCTCTCTCTCTAACACCCCCTCTCTCCCCAGGCATCTTACGCCGCCCCCACCACCTACTACGACGAGTATGCCGGCCTGTACGACCGCCGTCGCGCCGCCGCTGCTCTGCCTGCGATGCACGATCCTTATGGACCGCCGCCGCCGAGACGCTATGCTGAAGATCCTGCCGCCGCTGCTGCTGCTGCTGCGGCCGCTGCGGCGGCACTGTATGATAGGCGGGCACCGGCCCCGTACCGGTACTGAGAGAGGAGCGCTGGAGCTGGCAGGTGGGTAAAGGAGGGGAGGAGGGGGGGGGGGGTACGGCGCTCACGAGATTAAGCGGTAGGTTTTGCACATTTCCGGTTATATCTCAGAAACTAATCGATCTACGATGAAGCCATTTTACACGATCATGGCCGGCTCGTTACCCAACAAGTCGATCGCATCTTCAACACTTAAAAGCTTAACCCTATTCCTGGCGGGCTCCGCCGGGACAAGAAACTGGCGGGGGGGGCCGATTCGGCCCCCCCCCCTGAGATCTCGAGAACGAAGCAAGATAGCGACAAACGGTAAACGGCATCGGATGCGCACGGTCAAGATCTACAATTTTTACTAAGGTCATTTTCAGGTCAGGTCAAAGATGACGTCACAGGGGTCGAAAAAGTCAAAATGGCGGCGCTAGATATGGAGAGAGTTTTTCTCGAATAACTTTCGAATTAGTCAAGATAGGAACAAACTAAGGGCATCATCGTGATCCTCTCGTCAATCCGCATCGAATGATATATATGTTGACCTCGAAAGGTCAAGGTCAAAGGTTGACCTCAGGTCACGTGACCTCGAGGTCGTCATGTATATCATTCGATGCGTCTTGACGAGCTGAACACAATAAGACCATCCACGCGTCTGTATCTTGTTCCTGTACGGAGTTATTGGCCAAAAACCTTTGGTGACCTTTGATGACGTCACATGACCTCACAGCTGCCCAACAGCAAAACAGATCTCAAGGTAGTGAAGGTTGATCGTATATGAAGTCATGTATGGTATATGGGGCCATTCCGACCCGTTTTAGTGGTAAAAACAGGGAGTTGATTTTTCCCCCATTGACTTATAATGGGGAGGTCGCGAAACTGACCTGACCTTAGGTCACCGATATCAAAATTCCGAGATATACAAATCGCACACACTGGTACCCTAACTAAAGCCTGAAGAGAAGAAATTGATCGGTCAAAAACTCTAGCTCTGGCGTGATTGCAAACTTTTCTGAGGTAGGGTCACCAAACCGCCTCTGGTGACCTGACCTGAGGTCAGATCAACTCAAAATTTTCAGACATGTTGCGTAGAAGCCTTTTAGGAAAAGTCAGAAAATTTGAGCTTCCTAGCTCAACGCGTTTGGGAGAAATAACCAAAAAACCTCAGGGGGGGGGGGCTCCTGAGGCCCCCCCCCCGCCAGGAATAGGGTTAAGACGACGAAGATATTAGCCTGAAATACACTAAATTTTCTAGGTGCAAAACCTACCGCTAAAACCCGCGAGGCCTGTACCTTACATGTATCGTCACCGTTGCAGCTGCCAATCTATTTACGTCTTCTTTTCGATCACTCCGCATTTAAAAATCGTCAGTCAAAGCCATCCGTTGAGCTTGATAAAACCGCACATTATTTCAGCTGTGGGCTGTACGTGAGGAAATATGGAGGTACGGGGAGAGTAAACCTGGGAGGATAGCTCGGTGTAGAGACTGAGATGCTAATCGTGAAATGATTGTGAGGTGGGCTGTGGAGCTGTGGTCTGCGATGTGAATGGGGGGATTGCGTTAGGGTATTAGGAAGTGAAAGAATGGTCAGAACTCAGAAGTGTGTCATGTGTGCTGGGGGCATATTTATTTAGGGTTTTAAGCAAGGCTATAGAACTCCAGGTAAGGACACCAGCCGTTTGACCTTGAACGCCGCCGGCCGGCCGATGACGTCATTGGAGGCAAGCCGGCTCGGCGGACACACAAGGCGAATGCATATCGGAGGGCCGACGGGCGTTGGAACGTTGCGGGAGCCGGGGAGATGTTTTAATGTGGTTGCTTACAACCATTGTTATGTTGATTGTTCTACAGACTGCATTCTTTTAAACCTCGATGCATCCTAGGCCTGGATGGTGCGTACAATCAATCGTGGAACGATCACCCCGTCCGACGTCCGTGGTCGAAGCTGTCATAGTATTAAAGACACTAAGACGGGTGCAATAACGGCGATCTGATCCCGTCTCTGGCGCCTCTGGCGAATCTAGAGGGGTTGTAAGGACCCAGGCCGAATCTGACCGTCTATTTTTAGGGAAACGGGGTGGGTGAATTGACAACCGATGGCTTAAGACATGATGAGAAGGGATCCCGTCGTCGATTGTTGTTTGACAGACAACACATGTTGTACTGGGTGTATGACCATCAGAGGTAATGCCTGAACGTAGGCAAGCATAAATGGTCTGTCATACTGTTTAGGAATATAAAATGGTAATGGAGATCATTGAGGATATGATCTCTACATTACGGGAAATGGGCCCATAGGGGCACCGCCGGAGCTGTTGTTTTGCCATCGGTCCCAGGCAACTCCAGGGAGCTGCAGTAGGTACCCGGCGGACAAAGCGGCCACCTCGTCGACTCGCAGGTCCTGAGGGATTCCGTGATGCTTTAGTGCTTCACCCACATAAGCAAAGGCATAGCAGTAGGATGTGGGGCTAGGTGTCTGTCCACCTCTTCATTGAAAGAACAACGTATACAGCGCCCGGTCCCGCCGAAGCTCGGTATCGACCGTGACTTATTCACAACTGGCGGATCCAGGAAGCGGTCTTGGACACTGCGGGGGCTTACCCCAAAAAGGTTTCTCGGAATTAATTTAAAAACTCGGATTTCGATTCCTTGCGCACTGCTGTGCAGTGTGATTAACCAACATTTCCTCAGAAAAGTTGTGAAGGTTTCTTTTATTCTCGAAAAGCGATTTCGGGCGCTGCCCTGGTTGTGGGGGATGACATTTGCCCCAAATGCCTTCCCCTGGATCCGCCAGTGGGTTGCCCCACTCCGAGCTTGACTAAAAACGTCTTCAAACCCCACCAGAAACCGATGGTAAGGTGAATTTAAATCCAATAACTCATCTCTGTCTGCCCGCCTAAATATACTACACATGGTACGGCACCCGGCCCTGTCGGAGCTATGAGCCGATCGTGATAATTTCAGCTTTCCCCATCCCAAGCTCGATTAGAAACGTTCTCCTTCCCCACCCGATTGCTGATGTCAATTCAAATACAATACCTCATCTCTGTCTGCCCGACCATAACCCATTCATTGCACACCGTTCAGCGCCCGGCCCCGCCAGACGTATCCTAGCGCGCTGAGCAGTTGCCTCCAGCCGCGTCATCGCGAGGCGCCGCGCGGCCCATAAATGAATACATTGCGCGAATAGCCGTGTCGCCCCCCGGTTTTAAGTATAGGTAGATCTCATGCCAGTGATGTGTCCTTTCTTCGTGCATACAGCTGCCAATTAATGTGCCCTTTTGTATATGTAGCTGAAGTGCGCTTTATTTATATTTGAGCTCCATTCTCTGATTTTTGCAGCGTTCCCGATTCTGGGATTACGTACAACACAAAAGGCCTGGCGTGAGTGTCTGGCCACCTACCGGCCTTGGTTCAAACTACAAGTGTCGACTCCTCCCGCATGGTGTCGCGAGTAGCACCAGGTGGCGCAGAACGACAGACTCCGGCAAATTCGTGCACTTCTAGTGTGTATTTCTGCCGCTAGAGGGCAGAGATTCTGTTCGTGTTTGCTGTCTACATACACCGCATAATGGTGTTCATTCGGTCGTCTAATCAGCTGTCTACAGAAGCGACCGAAAAGCGTGCTGATTGGTCGCGGACTCCATGACGTCACAGTGAGAGAATCGACTGTATGACGTAATAGCGAGTCGCTTGCGTATGTGTGACGTCACATAGATTAACGTCTGGTAGCATTAGTCTTTTTCTGCATTCACGTCGACTTCGGTGAAGTTATGTTCAATAAAATTGACTGAAAAATACGGTGTGTTTATGAAATGTACACTCACGCAACCAAACTGTGCTATAGACAAGGATCGTGTCGGGAACACGTAAGATGTGCGTTTCTGTTTGGGTTTGGTGGGAAGAGTTACGAGACATCTAGCTGGGGTGTATGATCGATATTGTATTATTTCGGGGTAATGAAATGTTCAACTATCATCTCCTCTACACACTGCGACCTAGGCTGAAAAGAAGTTGCCGTAAATGACATTAAAGCGCCCCACAACCAAACATACGCCCTGCTGATGTTTTTTGCCCGACACCATTCAGAAAATCAGTGTCAGCCACTTTTTTCGCGCGATTTCGACTGAGAACCATAAAAACGACACCTAAAAACTGATATTTGATCTTTTCATATTGCGAGCGATGTGATATCAGACCAATTCAAATATGCTGCTCTGGCGGTGGATGCGCGGAATGTCCACCAGCAGCAGATTCAGAAGTTTGTCGGCCTCGAAGATGCCGCTACCCTTGCTGCTACCCTACCGGGACCGGCGAATTTCTGAATCTGCTGCTGGTAGACAGACATTTAGTGAATTTGTTGCCAGAGCAGCAGATTTGGGGCCAACAAATTTCTGAATCCGCTGTTGGTAGATAGACATTTCAGAGACATTCAGATTTCAGCAAATCCGATATAGACATTTCAGAGACATTCATATTTCAGCAAATCCGCTGCAGAGCAGAATATTCAGCCCATAGATATAAAGAATTCGCCCGAATGAATGGCTGACTGTCGCAGGCAACAGCAGATTCGCGAATATCAATCTGTCGCTAGGTTGACGGACCTCCCGACTTTATTTCTATGCGTCTTGAATTGAATTTATGATATATGTTATTGAGAAGAATATGAAAGGCGTTAGAACGTAATTTTGGTATTCGACGCGTTGATTTATTCTATTAAAAATGAATAATGACTCAAAATAGGACTACGACCAGCTAAGTCTCCTAACACAAATCATTTTAGCTAAGGCTCATGATGCTGGTACTGCTTTTGAACATATTTGATGCCATTGTTTTTCTTCGAAAAGTTTCCTCACCAAAATTTATTTGGCTAATTTTCGAGATAAAGCTCTGTCAAATCGCATTAAAGAGAGCATACAGCATATTTGTGAGGGACTCTTTTTAAAGGCAGGGTTGTTTATCATTTAAAACCACCAAACAGGCAGATATTTCGATCTTTTCTTTCTGATTTTGCGGAATATAGATATCACTTGCCACGTAATAAAATCTGCGCATGCGCGAGAGCATGTATCAACAAAATACGATTCTGGCGCAGAAATTCCTATCATGGAATTTGCTTGAAAAATATTAAAAACTTTCTGTTCGTGAATTTGTTTCCTTGTTTGCGTATTTTGAGCCTAAAATACACAAAACAGTAATTTTTGCTCTGACGTTTTGCTGGTAGAAGCAACGGTAGAAGCAGTTTCATCAAAGACCGGTAGGCTTCCCCGTCATCATCATGGTTACATCATTTTATTTCCATGTAAATGCCTGGTGGGGATTGTGACTGATTTGTGAATTTTTATCGAATTGTCATTTATGATGTTATTTATGACATCCTCAAAGTAACGGGCAACAGGACAAGGATGCATTGCTGATGTATTTTATTTGTAGCCAGGCAGTGGTCTCTAGCATACCTGTAACGTGTTTGTTTTTGTTACATTGTCATTGTGTGAGTTGTGCCCTTTTCTGAAAAAAAAAAAATATTAATAACTATATTGTTTGGGATATTTAATAACATTCAGGGTCAGTTTATTACCTGATACCTGATATTTGGTGATCATTGAAGGCACTAGGATTGTGTGGTGGTTCTGTCGTAGAGAGCTCGGGTAGCGTCAACAGTCTTCACTATTGTGGAGCGATGAAGGCATAGTTCGTCCAGTGCTTGTCCAGCCAGTTCTTGAAAACATTTGTCGATGGCTAGCAGACAATTTCCTCTGGTAGAGCGTTCCAGTCCGACACAACTTGGGTGGCGAAGTGGTTGCGTGCCGGACGCGGCTGACTGCTGGCTTCTTGGCGACCTTCAGTCGGAACTTATTGAACAAATAGTGTTTCGAAACTTTCTTAGAGATGCAGTCCTTTACTCCAAAAACAGTTGGGGAAACTACGAGGAGCCAAACAAAAATTGGATCAGCCAATTGAATGGCTGGAGTGGGCAGGGCGATGACCATGTATGGTTATAAAATCAGACAACTTCATCTTTTCAAAGTATTTAATGTATTCAGACTGAATAGCTGCTTGACAAGCTGACAGGCCAGGCCATGAGTAGGGAAAAACCACCAGACTTCACTGACAAAGCTGGAAATCCTCAATAAAGAAGGCCTGAAAACTACCAATAAATTCAGAAACTAGCCCTCTTGCAGTATCAAATTGTTGACAAAAGACAGGTTCCCCACACGCACCTCGTATCTCTGATTCTTTGATTCTCTGATTCTTTCTTATTCTCTCTGATCTCTCTGAGTCTCTCAGTGTGACATTCTTGAGCAATGCCACACCAGAGCTAGTCTGTTCGGTCGCTGTTTATTTATCAGCATGCTGTTGGTTTTCCCCATATAAGGGAGCTATTGCTGGCACTTCTTGGCCTCTCATTGATCAAATGAATATGCCACTTGAATTCGACCAATGAGGAGCCAAGAAGCAGCAGCATGCTCGCGCCTGCTGGTAAAAAGCTGAGACCAAATAGCGCCCAGTATTGATCATAAAATCAGTGAGTAGTCACTGAGAACTGACTACCCATTTCTTTCTCAGATTTACCATGCAGCCAGCACCGGTTCGACCGCCAGGAGGTCCACCTCGGACACCACTGACACCGTCACCAGGTGAGAGGTCTTGCTCTTATCAGTTGGTGTTGTATGATGGCCAAATGTTGATCGTTTATTGGTGTTAATGTTGGTTTTTGAATTTAGTCCGAATCTTTTGATGTGAAGGATTCACAAGGACAGAGCCCCCGCTAAGCAAAGCTTTTTGCGTTGGCCCTGACCTCTACCCTCCGATCGCGCAATTCCGGTTCTATGGCAGAATTTAAAGTCCAAAGTCTAACGTGCGCAGGCGCACATAGCCGCGCACGGCCGGTCCCGTCACTGACTTCGCCTGGCTACGGCCTGCCACCAACTGCAACCATACCTGTCAGGATGCCCATAAATGTCAAGCGCCCGTCGCGCTTCGAACCCGGACTGTTATAACCGGGAACGCGTGCTCTCACGCTCTACCAACTGAGCTACGGGACCGGCAGACATTATAAGACATTTTAAGAAAAGGTTTGAATTATTACTGTACTCCTTTCTTTCTTCTTTCATTACCTGTTCATGCCATTTCAGTCGGGGAAACTGTGGTCAAATCTTCCATTTTTAGAAAGCCTTCCATTTTTGGAAGGATTTTCTATATATGGGTACGCACCTTCCAAAAATGGGTACGCTGACGACGTCATCGTACCCAAATATAGAAAATGTTGCGCATATGTTGGAACTTACCGATTTCCGCCGAACATGAGGCAAATGCGACTATCGCCCCTGGTCGCTTTCTATTCGCCATAGTGAAGTGTCCATAATCTAGCGTGGATGCCTAAATCCTAGCGTGGATGTATTTTAGGTAATTTTTCAAAGTAATGAGTCGTGGAAAATTGACAAAAATTTACCGACAAACGATGGTTTTATAAGACTTTATCAAACATTTTGTAAGCAAAAAGCATCAAAAACGAAAAGTAAATATCCTTAAAAGTACTTTAGTGACGGGCCATGCTTGTTCGATACCGCCGACTTTATTTACAGTGCGGAATTGTCTGGACAGAGTGCGGAGGTTTCGGGAGTGAAGTGGCGAGTAAAACTTGTATTTGTTGCCGTTTTCTGCATTTATTAGCATATTGTGTGGTTGATTTCAATTTTTTAAGGCTTTTGCCAAACATTTGGGTGGAGGTCTCGTCATTTTTCAATGTTTTTTCCGGAATATGGGACGAATTAAATAGGCGTTGCTGCGCCGTTTTTCGTGTTACTTTCTATCGAAGGAGCATGAATCTTCAATTTATATGAGGAATAGTAAGTTTAATTTAAACCATTTTTTGTCAGGGCTATAGCTGTGTTCCTCCTGGTTGGTTATTGACCAGCTGTTTTCTCTTCTGAATTTCTATGTGTCCTCTAGAAGTAGAAAAAGAGAGCAGTGCGCCAGGACACCATGCTATTATATCACTATGTACATTGACATAGCATGCCTGTATTACCAACACTAGCACTGCTGCTTCTCCTTATATCAATGATCATAAATGGCAAAATCAACTATTAATGTTACACATTTAAAAAGGCCGTAACTTAAATCAAAGAATGTGAATCACAGTTGGGAACACTGAGATTAGACCTTCCAATTTTGGAAGCCTTCCATTTTTGGAAAATGCATACCCATTTATGGAAGGTCCTTCCAAAAATGGAAGGCTTCCAAAAATAGAAGATTTGACCACAGTTTCCCCCACTGATTTGGGTGTGATCCTATAAATGGTCACTTAGTTCTTAAATTCTTCACTGTCTTAGATACTGACTGCTTGGCCTGGATTATTTGCATCGGCGTTTACCACAGTCATATTGTCCATAGTTAACTACCTAACCATTTTAATGCAACTAATGACCAAGCTAACACCCCTGTCTCTCTTTTCATCCACAGCTCCGGTTTCGGGAATGCAGACACCACTTCGTCCTCCCGGGATACCTCCTGGCCAGTCCCCTGGTCTGACTCCTGGGGCTCGACCTCCTCCCATGCCTCCGGGAATGACTCCCTCGCCGGGAGTGCCTCCCCGACCGGGTCTCCCTCCCGGGGCACCATTCCGACCTCCCCTCCCGCCAGGAGTGTCAGCGGGGCAGCAATTTAGACCGGTATCAAGCGCACCACCCTCGGGTTGGGCAGCGCCCCCCGCCCCCGGCGCTTCTGCTGCTGCTGCTGCCCAGACGCCTACTTCGATAGGTGAGTGCTGGGGCATTCCACGATAGATCGTACCAGGCCCGTCACCCTCATCTCTCAGATTTTAATGAAAATCGGTCCTAGGGGTAATCATAGGCCCCAAAGACGCCTGGCAAAATATCAGACTTCTCAGATCAAAACTTTTTGAGTTATATTGCATTACATTTTTTTAACTTCGGTTTGTAACGGTGAGTTTAATGGCCTATAACTCAAGAACGGGTTAAGCAACCAACAAACAGTAAACAACACTAAGCTTGCGATGAATCCAAAATTAATATTACAATTTAAAAATTGCAAAGAAAAATTTTCATTGTTGAGCAAAAACGTTAATTTTTTTTTCATTTGCCTCTAATGACTTTTGGGACCAGAATTTTTCACATTTTTATTTTTTTCAAAATAAACTTCATGTCATTGCAAATCGACATGCAAAAAATTAGAAAGGTGTTCTTTCTATAAGTTCCTCATTTTCCCGCAAACAAAATGGGTTTCGGAGGGGTTGATACGACTCCAGCACGCCGTTTCGCTTCTAATAGAGCTAGAGCCTCGCGGAAAAAACGAGCGTGTGTGCCGTTACAAGTCGCAGCGATTGGTACCCGATTTTAAGGTCTCAGGTTAACCGGTAGCGTCTGAGGTCAGGTCAAGTGACTGAAGTGGACGAATAAAGGAATGAATGAATGAATGAATGGAAGAAACCGTGAATGGGGTTTAAGGGGGGAGTTGTTTTGAGCGAAGCAAGCATGCTGCTGATTTTCCACGGTGATAGCAACATCCGGTTTACTGTTAACGGCCCGGGTGGAATGACTTAGCGCTGAGAACCGTTTCTGGGAGTGTCTTTCCTAGAGTTTCTCGGCCTAGCCCCGTGAGCGACGCTGAACGTATTCGTGCAGCTGACTGTCGTTCGTAATTGGGTGACACCTTGTTTGTGTGAGGTGTTGGGTTAGACCCTCGGCTATTGCGCTGCATTGGCCGTGTCCATCCCGTTAGGACGGTAGTGTATCAGTGGGGAAGATCGCTAAACTGAAACTTGTGATTCTGGTACACAACAGAGAGTTGGCGTACGTTTTGTACGATTACGATTACGATGCTCTCCAAAACGATTATCCCGTGCCACTCAAACGATGTCACTCAAATGATCACTCCAGAGAAGCATGCTCCTATTAGGCTGATTCAAACTTAAAGCAAAATCGTTCTCGATTTTTCCAAGGAGGGGGGGGGGATTTCAGTCAAATGAGACCATTTCAGGGATGTGTTATGATGCTAGGACAAAGTAATCAGCGTCGCTGGTGGTCTGGGCTACCGAGCTTTTTCGATGGAAAGTCCACTCAGCCTCGCAGTCGGTCACCTCATGAGTCTGTGCTGGTGGAAATTGCTCACGTCAGATAATGACCGTCCATCCGGGAAATGTTCTTAGGATTTCTTGGATTTCACTCATTGAATAATCAATATGGGATCACCGTTCCGTTACATTACATGTGTCATTAAATGCCGTGTATAGGATAGTTCGGTATTTTTTTTTTTTTTGTTGGGTTAGGCCCTTTCGGTCGACAAGACCATTGCAGAGCCGGAAGGATGATAGGAATTAGGGGGAGACATTGGTCTGGGCAGGCACCCTAGTGAGTCGCCGGGGCTGAGCCCGTCCAGAGGACAGGCCACCCAGCCCCAAGGCACTCACTGCACCCGGCTACGGGGTGCGCTCCCTCAGGAGCAGCGGTGCCGCTCCAAGGGAGCAGCCCGCATGAGATAAAGTTGCCTGTCCAGCCCGGAGGGGGGTTGCGGCGTGGAGGAGAAGGATTTCAGTTTCCTGAGGATAGAAGCATGGAACGGTGAGTTCGGTATTTTATCAGAATGGGCCCTGATTTCACCGGAAACGGTCTCTCTTTCGACAGCACCGCCAAGACCAGCTGGTGCTGCCATCTCTGGAGCGCCACCGCTACCTCAGCCTCCGGGATCGGTCGCTGGTGGCGCCAGTGTCGGCGCACCGCCTAGTTCAACTGGTGAGTAGAACCAACTGAAAAGGTTTTCAGATGATATCCTAGTTCTTTTTTACCCATTTATGTCGTTTAGTTGCATTCTTCAAACACAAAGAGCTGGATGGCGTTTCTTCAGCCTGGACCGACTTTTTATTAGCTTCTGCGCATCTTCTCGTCTTTTTCAATAGACTGAAAAGCGATAATGTGAACACATATATATATTGCACAAACCGGTTTCGATGTATTTTGTATTTTGTGTGTTTTATTTATATATTTGCACACTGATGAAGTGATATCGAAACCGGTTTGTGCAATATATATGTGTTCACATTATCGCTTTTCACAAACGTCAAACTGTCATACCAAATTTCAATAGACTGTTTCTTAGTTATAATATAATTATGATCCTTTTCTCTAATGACGGTGCGTTTTCGACAAGAGATGTACTGATCGACGATAGGCAGGTGTTGTGTTGCCTACTGGTCACTTCCAATCACCATTTCCCACGGTCTCAGGACGGAATCTGCGACTTCCGCTGAACACTTCCGGTGTCGTTTCCGGGGTCGTTTCCGGTTCCCACGGTGGTCTGACTCCGACTCCCAGTGATTCCGGTACACAGCAGAGAAATTTCACACGTGTTATACACTCCTCACCAGACCACACACTGCACAGTGCACCTGTTCTTTGCACATAAACTGAAGTGTTAACACCATCCACACGTGTGAACGTGAGAAGCACAAAGCTCATTGCACATGACACATTTACACGCACTAAGCGCCGCGCACAAAATTATGCTATTTGGGAACATGTCAATTGTACACTAAACGCATGCTAAACATTCATTACTTATTAATTTACTTCCAATATTTTTTTTTTTGTTTTGTATTGGACAGCTAAAATTCGTCTATCTGCTGGTAGCCAAATAGATTGGGTGGCTATGGCTGGGGAATCGCGCTGAAGATTTCTTTCGTTCGGTCTTTTCAGCTTGTGATGCTTTTTCCAATTTCCAACTTTCGAATTTTCTGCATGCTGAGCGGCAGGCTGCTTCAACTATTTACGTTTCATTCATCTGCTAGAAAACTTGCACTGGATGACTCGTACAATATCTGTATTTTCATTAGCATCGTTGTGAAATATTATCACCTGTGCTTCTCAGTAGATCATCAGAAGATGTTCAATTATGGGTGAGAAGCTGTTGTTTTGTCATCCAACGTTTTTCTTTCTAAAATTATTTTGCATTCATCGGTTATCTGTTTGTCACTGATATGACCTAATACGATACTGATTACCTTATGAATGAATGAATGAATGCTGAATGAATGCTGACACACCGTCATACACATAGACACCATACAATACTAATGGTGTCATATGCTCGTATCTACCGCCGTACTAATATGAAGTGCCGTGGCCGGTACAGGGGCGTCATCAACTCGCTCTTCGCGTGGACCGACCCCCGTGGCCACTCCGAGATTGGACTTCATGGAGCGGCAGCCACCACTGAGTGCTGATAGTGGGTGTCATACTGACATATACTGACATATACTGACATACTGTACTGACACTCCGAGACTGGACTTCATGGAGCGACAGCCGCCACTGAGTGCTGATAGTGGGTGTCATATACTGACATCTACTGACATATACTGACATATACTGACATATACTGACATAGGTACCTACTGACATTCTGACATATAGTTTATTTGTTTATTTGTTTATTTATTGGCATAGCGTCCACAGGCAAAGCCCCATTTACGGATGCAGTCGCACACTGACAATAACAACCACTCACACACACTGGATGGAAATAAATATGAGTGATAACACTGATCAAAATCCAAATAAATTAACAAGATGGCAAGAGCCTAAAAGTAAACCGACAGGCAACAGCCTAAGAATATAGAAGACATGAGCAAAAGCCTAAGAGAATATACAAGTATAGGCACCTGGCTAATGAGCGAGGCTAAAAGTATACTGACATGAGAAATCCGGAATCCCCTAAAAGTAAACAGCACAGGCAATAGCCTGAAATCCTAAAAGAGTGTAGGTATAAGCAAGAATGACAGTGGATGAAATAAAAAGACAAAAAAGACGAAAAATGAGCGTAGACAATGACAATGACAATGAGAATAAAACCGGTAACGGCTAGTTGCTACACGAGGAGCTATATCAGTGACCTTTGGCTAAGTATGTTCCCTGGTCGTCAGCAAATTTGGCTATCTCCGACCTTAGCCTGCAGCTAGGCATAAAGAAATCGGCGTCGGGGCTGCTGTGGACAAGCGAGTTCACTTGCTGGGGAAGACGAATCAGAAATCCTCGCTTCACAGTGTCCACTCTTCCGCGCGGCACATAGTGACGCGGCATATAGTGACATATACTGACATAACTGGACCTCATGGGGTGACCTGCTATTGAGTACTGATATTGGGTGGCATATACTGACATATACTGACATATACTGACATATACAGACATACTGACACACAAAAACTGGACTTAATGGAGCGGCAGGCGCCATTGAACGCTGATAGTGGGTGTCATATAACTGACATATACTGACTGACATATACTGACGTATACTGACATACTGACACACCGAAACTGGACTTCATGGAGCGGCAGCCGCCACTGAGTGCTGATAGTGGGTGACAGATGCTGACACATACTGACATGACACACCATACTGACGAACTGACACTCATACTGATATATTCACACCAATACTGACGCGGACACTGACACTGACACTATAACAGACTGAATACTGGCATACTGGCAGACTTTGACACACTGACACTGACACTGTACTGACATACTTACTGACACAGCGACATGACGCACTTTCTGGCGTCGATACGGAGAGGGCTGTAGTGATTCAGCACTTGTTTGCAGTGATTCTCACCTGCTCAAGGTCTAACCGAGTTTCACCACTGAAATTCTTGGCACATGCACCTCACACCCCCTTTCCCATCGCAAATCTATCATTGGGCTACACATGCTTTCACATTTTGTGTGTGGGCATCGATTTGACTGCGCCCGTGACTGCGTATTTGACTGCGATGCGCGTATGTGCTGACCCTGGCGCTCACCTGTGTTTTGTTAACGTATGTGCCTGTGACCACCATTTTGGGTGTCCGGTGTGTATACCAATGTGTTTGGTCTCTGATTCTAGACGTTTATGCCTGTGTGCTCGGGCTGATTATTGTGTGGAGGTTCGAGTATGTGTTGACGCACCGTGTTTATTTTTGTGTGTTCTGTGCGTACGCCAATGCCTGTAATCTGTATGTGTGTCTGACGTCTGTGCCTTGCGCACCCTTTTATATGATTGTGTGACACTTTTCTACGTGTTTGTATGCACCGATGTTTTTTCGTATGCACATGTGTTTGTTTTACCTACGTTTGTGTATTTGTGCACCTTTTTCAACCTTTATGTATATCAGTCATGCATGATCACTGTTAGCTAACTCTCGGTTTGTTTATTCCCCACAGGTCCCGGCGGACAGTTCAACACATCTCCATTCCGACCTCTGGCCCCTGGTCCCGCGGTCCCCGGTGGTCCCGCTGTCCCCGGTGGTCCCCCGGTCCGCAGTCCGGCAGTCCCTGGTCCTCCCATGCCCAGTCCGTCGGTCCCGAGACCACCAGGTCCTGGTTCTCAGGTTCCTGGGCCGCCTGGTCCCATACCTGGACCTCCTGGTCCTCCATCTGGTCTTGGTCTCTCTGGTCCTGGTCTCTCTAGACCGCCTGGTTCCATGCCTGGTCCTCCGTCTACTCAAGGAGGAGCTGGGGATCCACTCAGACCTCCTGGCCCCAACCAACGGCCTGCCCCGCCTACTTCTGCGTACGCTCCGCCCACTTCGGCATATGCCCCGCCCACTTCTGCTTATGGACAACCCGCAACTTCAGCGTTTGGACCTCCAACGTCATCGTTTGGACCTCCGACATCATCTTATGGACCTCCAACGTCATCCTATGGGCCTCCGACGTCATCAATTGGACCTCCGACGTCATCAATTGGTCCACCTACGTCATACGCCCCGCCCACCACTGGCAACACCCAACCACCGACGCGTTCTCCGCTGATGGCTCCGCCCACATCAGCTGCCGGCCAATCAGCGCCGCCGGCGCCGTCTGCTCCACCAATGGGAGGCGGTGCTGGTCCGATGGCTCCGCCCCCTATGTCAAATGGAGCTGTGAACGGGGGAGGAACCCCGGGACCGGCTGGACAGAGGCGCTATCCGGCACAGGTAGGAAGGAAGAGGGATGGAGGGGAGAGGGAGAGGCAGGGAGAGGAGCAGGGATCAATGGGGAGGGGTAGAGCAATTATCAGGGAGGGAGAGGAGAGGGATTGGGGAGTTTAGTGATTAGAGAATGAGGAGTCAAAAGAGATGGACGAATAAGGGAAATGGAGGTAAGAGACAGAAGGGATTTGGGAGAAATTAGAAACTAATGGGGGTAGAGGGATAAGGGAGCAAAGGAGGTAAGAAACAGAGGGATAATCAGAGGAGAATGTCTAAGGTATAAATATGGAGAGGGGCTGATGGCCGGGACATGTTTAATTGATCAGTAACAGGGGGATATGTGCACAGGTACAGTGATGAGTAATCAGAGTGTGCAGAGATTAAAGTTCATATGAATCAACACTCCCACCTGACACCCACGTGACCCCCCCCCCCCCCCCCTCCCCCTCTTCCACAGCCGGCCTTTGGCGGCGGTGCTCCCCCACCAGCCCCAGTAAACGGAGCAGCCGGTCTGGCGGGTCAGATGGGTCAAATGGGTCTGGGAGGCCCTCAGCAACAGCCAGGAGGCAGACAGACTGCCCATAATGTCATCTCGGGAGGATTCAACCGGCTCTGGGGAACAGAATCGGTCGACCTCATGCAGGTACGGGTTCGAATCTCACCGCGCGGTGAGAGTTTTTGGGGTGTTTTGTTGAGAGTCTTTGGGTCATTATTTAATTATTTTGTTTGCTGATGAGGAATATAATGACGATGTGGCATGAGTTTTAGAGTTTTAGACAAAAGAGTCATGTCAGAAGTTGTTGAGTTTGGAGCAGATATCTAAACAAATTGTAAAATTGCTAATATGGCTATTGGCTACCGGCTAATGTTGTGCCGCTACCTACCTGGCTTCCCACGGCTCATTACAAAGATTCCACAAGTGTCATCATCTGAATCATGTATCATAGTATCATATCATGTTTGTCAGAATTATATTGAGTAGATAGCCATTCGTATTTCTTGTGTTCTGTGTTTGCGTGTTCCTTTGTGTGCTGACTGGGTTTGTACGTGTTTGTATCTGCAGCAGCGGCACATTCTGCCTCCGGGTCCTCTGGAGCCACCCAAGGTCGTCCTGCCGCAGGAGCATCTCAACAACAGCAACGTCAAGCCAGAGTGAGTACTCAGTCCGGTGAGCGTGGGTTCGATTCCCAGGAATGACACGAACTTTTAGCGAATATTGCGACGTGGATTGGTGGTTTAGAGTGGGTTCGATTCCCGACGACGGCGCCAGCTTGTTTGGCATATAACAACAGCATTATTCATGTAAGGATGATTCGTGGGCTCGGTTCTCAGGAATGGCAGGAGATCGTTGGATCGTGGGCTCGATTCGCGGTGACGGCATGATCTATATATTATAACACCACAACAATGCGTATCGGGCTCAAGTTCCGGTGAAATCAAGAGTTTTTACATATTTACGTTTTGAGTGTTAACCCGGCAGTTGCTGGGGTATTTCGCCACCCACCGTTTGCTGGGGGGGGGGGGGGCGTTAAACGCCCCCAGCCGATAACTCGAGAACCAATAGGCGCAGCGAAACGCACGAGGCGGCAAACGAAAGAACGCGACGAGACGCTTCAGATGAGTACTTTAAAGTTGAATGTTGAGGTCACAGGTCGGGTCAAGGTCAGGTCAAACACCTGAAATAAGGCTTTCAGTAGCATGGACTTCAGGACTTCGCAATGGGCGCCTCTCGTCATAAACTCTGTCAAAACGGTGACAATCCATCATATAAGGCCTACAAGAGTGTCAGCTCCATGTAGGGGTCAGTCAAGCATAGGTCAGGGTCAAGGTCAGGTCAACCCGGTAGGCACATATCCTCGAAAATCAAAACTGATATTCACACATGTTTTATGGGTAATATGGGGCGTAGAACACGATGGTAACATTCATTTTATCATATGTGTACGTGTTTGGCTAAAAAAGTTCAATTTAAGAAATGCATGTATCATGGTCGTGAAGTAGTCACGAGAAATTGCCAAGATTCAGTTCAAGATTTTGGAAAATGCGGAACGATAATCAATAACCCGCGCCCCACTGGGGGGGGGGGGGGGCTATTTATAGCCCCCCTCCCGTTTTTCTGCAATAACTTCCAAACCGCTTGACGTATCGACGCCAAACTTTCAGTACCTTCGGATGCATCAATTTGACACCTTGTGTCAAAATTTGAACTTCGTAGCTACCATAGGTCGGCCGGAAATGACGTCAGAGTGACGTCATGTTCGGCCGATTTCGACGCAAAACATCGAACCACGGCAATCGCTCCCAAGGGCTCAGTTTTTAAGCTAGATCCAATTTCTTTGCATGAGAGGACTCAGAATAGACTGCGCTATCAAACTGCTATCTCGGATTTTCGAAATTTTGAAAATTTCGAAAATTTTATATGAAAAAATAAAAATTTACACTTTTGCATTTTTTTTCAAAAAGTTTTTGACTTTTCGAAAAAACCGGAATATATGTGATAGAATGCGTTATTATGACTAACTCTAGCAAGTTTTAGCTAAATATCTTCAAAAATGGCCAAGTTATACGCATTATTGCAAAAAAATCACAATTATTCATTTTTAAAATCAATTTTTCGCCACGTATTTGACATCGTACGCCAATATAAATAGCACCATCGTGTTTCTGAGCTCAAACTGCATCCAATAGACACCTTTTCTGTTGAAAAATTATAACTTCAAAATTTGACCTTTTTTGATCTGAAAGTGACCAAATTCGACTCAAAATGACCTCGAATGACACAGACGTCATCAAATTCGAAATCTGTGGCCTAAATGGACCATAAAACATGTGTCACGTGACCGACGCATGATATAATATTTTCGTGACCTGTGATGACCTGACCTTGACCTGAAAATCAAAGTACAAGTTTGGTACCCCCAGGGTATCTAGAGCATCTGTTCACGAGTGTGTGAACCAAAAATGAGCCTGATCTGACTTGTAAGACGGCGGCCAGAGCCCAAAACGTGAACAAGCCAAAATGCTAATAATTTTTACTTTGACTTGACCTGTGACGTCATCGGTGACCTCGAGGTCAATGAAATTAGGTTTCGCTCGACAGTTTTTCCGGGGCTATCAGACGCTGTTTGAATTTTGACGATCGGCCCAGTAGTTTCGGAGTTAGGAGGGGGGGCTATGAATAGCCCCCCCCCCCGTAGGGCGTGTTATACGCAGACCCCAGTGGGGCGCGGGATAATCGAAGATAGCCATTTGATTGTTCATGGTATTGACAGTCTAATGGCGTTTACGGCATGTCTGTATGTCTATTTTGTGATTTTATATGATTTTTTGAACATATGCCGTTTTTGTTCGAAAAGTCAGAAATCATGACGTCACTAAAACCTCGATATCTCAAAAATTTTCCGACCGATTTTTTTGAAACTTTGTCACAATAAACTTCAATCAATTCCCTACAGGTACTCAAAATTTGGCGCGCCTGCGGCGCGCCGTTTTTATGCTATGGCCCGGCGAAAAAAGTGGGGGCGTTTAACGCCCCCCCCCCCAGCAACTCGCGGGTTAAAAACATCGATTTATGAGATCGATTGTATTGCCGTTTTAGCGTTACCAGCCTTAATATCGTACCACAGTTCTGTCTTTATTTATCCACCACTCACTAACTTCGTGTAACACCACCTTCCACAGCCTGTTCCGCTGCACCTTGACGCGTGTTCCGGAGACGTCCAGCGTCCTCCAGAAGTCGCGGCTGCCGTTCGGCATCGTCATCCACCCGTTCAAGGACCTGCCGGTGAGGTTGCAAAAGGACTTGGAACGGGGCGCGGGGTGGCGTGTTTTGTGGTATATCAAGTGGAATGAAATGGTCTGTGTTTTGTTGTGTTTTGTTTCGTTATACTGTGTTGTGTTGTGTTGTGTTGTGTTGTGTTGTATTGTGTTGTATTGTGTTGTGTTCTGTTTGCATTGTATTCTATTAAGTTTTGCTGTAGCAACACGGATTGCTTAGCAGAACAGAAAACACGTGATTGATTAATTGCAAAAGATTTTTAAACGGTTACAGTGTTTGTTGATACTTTACGCAGTGATAAAGGTTCTATGAACAGGAAGTTGTTTGTCTATTTGAAAGTCAAACGGTAGTATGTATTCTGAATGCATTTGTAGTTATTGATTTTTATTAACATCAACATCTGACCCTGATACTGACATTTCTCCGCCCCTTTCTTTTCCGCAGTCTCTGCCGGTGATCCAGTGTAACACAATAGTGCGGTGCCGCTCCTGTCGTACCTACATCAATCCGTTCGTCTACTTCATCGATCAAAGGAGGTGGAAGTGTAACCTCTGCTACAGAGCGAACGACCGTAAGTAGAGGAGGGGAGAGGGAGGTAAGGCTGAAACAGACTCTTTCCGCGTTCAGGAAATCGTATGCGAGAGCCTATTCAGATACATTATGATTCTTCCCGCATCAATCGGATGCGGGAGGTGCGTGCGATTGATGCGCACGTGCTTCCATGTATTTGAATAGGCTCTCGCATGCGCGGATTTCCTGACAGTGGGAAGAGTCTGTTTCAGGCTTTAGTGAATGAGTGGGACGCCTTCCTGCCGAGATATAAAGGGAAGATGGGTGGATAATAATGCGTCTAATGGGCTCCCACGAGGCGTGCGTTGGAGTTGTTTTAATCGCATTCTCTAGACATTCGCTTAGCCTGGGTAACATTAATGTGAACAGTGAACGGTGCAGATATTGTGTGCCTCATAATGCACTAAAGGATAATATATTGCGGGAAGATGAGTGGATATTAATAATGCGTCTTATGGACCCTCACGAGGTGTGTGTTGTCTTTGACTGTTTTGACGTTAATCATTCACTCATTGACCATACAGTCCTGACTTTTGACCTGAACCCATCACGTTTCGGCTATTGACCTTTGCCCTTGACTATGATGACTTAATGACTATGATGACAATGACTTAACCATTGGCACATTGACTATTAACAATTGGCCGTTGGCCGTTAACTTTGACTGATTTTTAGCCATTGGTTCATTGTTTGTTAACCATTGGCCGTTGGCCGTTAACATTGACTGTTAGCCATTGGTACATTGTCTGTTAACCATTGGCCCTCACCCTCTGACCGCTGACCTGTGACCTGTAACCTGTAACCTGTTTGTGCCGCCAGTACCGGAGGAGTTTCAGTATGACCCGGTCAGTAAGACCTACGGAGACCCGAGCCGGCGGCCTGAGTGCAAGTCGTCCACCATAGAGTTCATCGCGCCGTCTGAATACATGGTAAGATCGACCTTATTGAATCGTCGTGGTAGTGAAGGCGATGGGCGTTGGGAAGTGTTAAAAGATTTACTTGATTGCGTTGCTAGGGGCTACGGAGTGTTTTGTCTTATTCTCTTGACATCCCGTCCTCCCATGCTGCTCAGTCGACCTTTTATAATATCCGTTCCCCTAACTAGACGTTTGGCCGCCACAGGCGTCCTGCTGTCTGTTCCTTCCAACATCTACCCTTTTCTTCCTCTTACTTTCCCTACCATTCGTCAAACATTCTCCTAACATCCCCTTACATTCTCCTAACAAAAATCCCCTTTCTTCCCCCAGGTGCGGTCGCCGCAGCCGTCCTACTATCTGTTCCCCTATTATTCCTCTAGCATTCCCCTACTTTCCCCCAAGTCCGGCCGGCGGAGACGTCGTATTGCCATTTCCCTGGCATTCCCCTAACATTCCCCTACTTTCCCCCAGGTGCGGCCGCCGCAGCCGTCGTGCTACACGTTCCTCTAACATTCCCCACGTCTTCCCCAGGTGCGGCCGCCGCAGCCACCATGCTATCTGTTTCCCCAACATTCCCCTAACATTCCCCAACTTGTCCCCCAGGTGCGGCCGCCGCAGCCGTCGTGCTACCTGTTTGCCCTGGACGTCAGTCGCGCGGCAGTGGAGTCGGGGTACCTCCGTGTGTTCTGTGATACTCTTCTGGATGAGCTGGACAGACTACCGGGAGATTCACGGACTCAGGTGAGTTTGGGGAATTAAAGAGTTGGGAATGGGCTTAGGTGTGAAGGTTGGGGTGATATGAGTGTATATGATAATGGGTGAAAGATGAGTGGTTGTAAGGTGTTCGGCTGTTCGCTATATGCCAGTTAGTGGTTGGTTAGTTGCGAGTCGTGGGTGTTGATATGGAGTTGGGTGGGAGTAAGTGGTGAGTTTTAGTGAGGCATGAGTGCGTTAGGACTTAGGTGTGAGTAAATGTTGAGCTCCATAAGGTAATGGTGAGTTTAGTAGAAGCTAATGATGTATTTAAGCGTTGTGGGTTGAATGTGTGCCTCTGACATCTCTCCCCCGCTTCTCCCCTCCCCCCAGATTGGGTTCATCACGTTCGACGACAGCGTCCACTTCTACGACCTCTCCGAGGGTCTCACCCAGCCGAGGATGATGGTCGTCGGAGATGTGGACGGTAAGTGATCGTAACTGCTACAAACTCACTAGTTCCAATTGATATAGGCGCACTAAGTCCAAAATCATAACGTCCACTTTATATTAACGAGGGACTCACCTAGCCAAGGATGATGGTGGTCGTTGACTAGTCGGTAGGTGATCGTAACTGCTACATACTGTTTGTCTACATGTTTCATAAATGCCAGTGCTAACCACCCACAAAGTGTAAAATCATATCCTCCACTTCACTGCACTATTTTTTTTTAAATGTGTTCGCAGCATGTTCCCGCCATGTAATGTAACCTTGTTTGACCCAGTTTTTCAAACGTTTATCGACACACTTATTGTTCTCATTTGGCAAACCTCAGCGAGCCGCCTGGCCTTACTCTCATGTGACTCTTTTCTCAAACGTTTTTCACCATTTCCTGGTGACCTTCTGATAAGCCTATCCGAGTCGCAGATAAGCCTGGCAAGCCTGGCTGAGTCAAATGACCTAACTCACCTGGCGCTATTTTCTCAGTGTGCTCAGGTTTCTCTCAACCCGCATCTTACTGATTGGGCGCCATTTTTCAGACGTGTTCCCACCTTCTCCTGTCAGCCTAATGGCAAACCTACCCAACTCACGTGATCTTACTCTCATATGGCTCTTTTCTCAGATCTGTTCCCGCCGTCCCCGAACGGCCTGATAGTAAACCTAGCCGAGTCACGTGACCTAACTCCCATTGTATCTTTTCAGACGTGTTTCCGCCGTCTCCTAACTTCCTGCTGGTAAACCTCTCCGAGTCACGTGACCTTACTCCCATGTATCTCTTTTCGTAGACGTGTTTCCGTCCTCCCTTGACAGCCTGTTGACTCACCTTAGCTAGTCACATGACCTAACTCCCATGTATCTCTTTTCTCAGACGTGTTCCCGCCGTCTCCGGACGGGCTGCTGGTGAACCTGAACGAGTCACGTGACCTGGTACAGGACCTGCTCACCCAGCTCCCGGAGTGGTTTGCTGGGAACCACAATACACGGAGCTGCCTCGGAGCGGCACTGCAGGCCGCCTACAAACTGGTGGTGAGTGTTATGGGGGAATAGTGAGGGGATAAACTAGTGGTCAGTCTTTGGGGAGGGGACGGGGAGGATATAAACTTGCGGTTAGTCTTTGGGTAGGAAGGAAGCGTGTAAAATAGTGGTCAGTCTTTGGGTAGGAAGGGAGGGTATAAACTAGTGGTAGGTGTCTCTTTTTGGGAAGGAAGAGGAGTACTGGGAGGTCGAAGGATATAAACTTGGGTAAAAGGGTAGTAAAAGAGTAAAAGGAAAGCGGGAGGGTATAAAATAGTGGTCAGTCTTAATTTAGGTAGGAGGGGAAAGCATGAATTGGTAGTCAGTCTTTGGGGAGGGAAGGGAGTTTAAGGAGGTCGAAGCGGGAAAAACTGGTGTACATTCTTTAAGGAAGAAAAGGGAAGTGTAGATTGGTGGTCAGTTGTGGATAAAAAGGAGCTGAATCTTAACTGTTTAAAAGCACCTGCTGCTGACGTATGAACGAGTGGGACGTCTCTTCAGGTGGGTATCGATGTGGGCGTTTGGTGTAGAACTTGTCTAAACATGCTACCGCCTACCTACTCTAGTGGAAGCACGGAAAGAGATCGAGTGTAATTTCAACTTCTCACCAGCTCGTAGAAGTCGAGTGTAATTTCACATTCTCACCCCAGCTCGTAAAACTAACTCTCGTCTCCCTCCGACAGTACCCAGTGGGCGGTCGGATCACGGCTGTCCTGGCGTCACTACCGTCTCACGGACCGGGGGCTCTGACCGCCAGAGAGGACCCCAACAACCGGGCAGGTGAGATTACAGGGGATAACGAGAGAGACTCCAACAACGGAGCAGGTAAGATAAGAGCTGAGACTGCCAGAGAGGACCCCAACAACCGAGCAAGTAAGATTAGAGCTCTGACGGCCATAGAGGACCCCAACAACCGGGCAGGTGAGACATCAAAGGATAGCGAGAGAGACCCCAACAACCGGGCAGGTAAGGTAAGAGCCTGATCCCAACAACTGACAGGCCAAGAACAGAGGCAGGTGAGACACCAGGAATTTCGTAATTGTGTTGTTTTCGTAATTGTGTTCATATTCGTATATTCCGTCCCAACAGGCCCAATATTTCCCTTTGAAAAATCTTGAAGACTTCCCGTACTTATTCCCGTTGAATAAGTACCTACTACCTACATATGTGTATCCTGCCGTTGTGTGTCATTAAAGATCTTTAGATGACTTATTTGACGTCATTGAACGCCATACTTCTAAGCGTGCGCTACCAATGGGGGACAATGCGCATTTTTATCGTAAATGACGTGACAGGAGTCGTCGTAGTACGCACACGACTTCACTTAACACCGCGGCAGCGCCATTTTCATGTATACCTACATGCTATTACAGAACCCGTTTTCATCACCCGCAGGCCAGTCGTCGCCCCACCTGGGCCCGGCCACTGACTTCTACAAGAAGCTGGCCCTGGAGTGTTCCTCTCAGCAGGTGGCTGTGGACCTGTTCTCTGTGGCGGCGGCCTACACCGATCTGGCAACTCTGAGTGAGTGGGGGGGGGGGGGTTATCTGGCAACCGGGGGGGGGGGGGCGTTGTGGGGGGATGCTTTTGGTATGATTGCTATCGTCTGTTGTCACTTTGGTTTTGGCAGGTTCTAGTGTGGTTAGACAGAGTCGGACATGGCAGGTTCATGCTCTTTAGTCTTCATGTCAGCATTGCCCATTATAATGATGGAGTTATGTCGGCTGGTTCAAATGTGGTTTAACGCTTAGCATATGTAGGAACTAGGAACTTTGCTGGAAAACATTTTTAATGGCTGAAACGTTTTCAATGTATAAAAATCTGCCTCAGATATCCCTGGAAACGGCAAGCAGTGTTTGTTGTGGTCAACAACAGTGAATGGACTTACTTCAATTTTGACTGACTCATCTGTACCTTTTTACGTCGCACACCTATGGCGAAACCGGCAAACTCTTACTTTCTTTCCCGCCCCATCACTCCCCTACTCCCTTTCTCTCTCTCTTTCTCTCTCTCTTTCTCTCTCTCTCTCTCTCTCTCTCTTTCTCTCTCTCTCTCTTTCTCTTTCTCTTGTACTATCCATCTCCTTTTCCTTCTTCCTTATGCTCTTTTTCCACTCTTTATCGCACTCCGATTTTGTCTCCCTTCTCCCCTCTGTCTCCCTCCCCCTCTCTCTCTCTCTTTCTCTCTTTCTCTCTTTCTCTCTCTCTCTCTCTCTCTCTCTCTCCCTCTCTCCTCTCTCTCCCTCTCTACCCCCTCTAACATCCCCTCTCTCTCCCCAGGTGGCGTCAGCCAGTTCTCGGGTGGCTCTGTCCACTACTACCCCGGAGTTCACACCCAGCTCAACCCCGCTCAGACCGAGGCGTTTGAACGAGGACTGAGGAGATATCTCACCAGGAAGATCGGGTTTGAGGCGGTCATGAGGATACGGTGCACTCGGTAAGAGGGAGAGCGAGAGAGAGGGGGTGGGTATGAAAGGAAGAAAGACTTTGAAAATGCACATAACCGCAGGTTGTTTTCTCACTAGACAACACTATTCGTTAGAATTGTGTTTTTCTGTTGAAAAACAACCGGAGCCAGTCCTTCACCGGGCTATATTTGTTTTCTGTAGCTGTTTTCTGAAATGCTCTCCTTCTATTTTGATATGTCTCCGTTACGTCCCGACCCTCGTAACCTAACCCCGTTCCTCTCTATCTATATTATGATTTATAAGTTGTCTGTACGATCTCCATCCATCCGTCATGTCTTATGTGTCTTATTGCGCCTGAAAGGCGCCGCGTAGCGACGTGAAATTTGGCATGCCGAATCTGTGGGCGTGGGCGGCCTTTGTATTAAAATTTGGGACGGATTGGTCCAGGGGTGCGCCGTCGGCACGTGCAAAAGGGTGCTCCCATAGGCTTAACACGTGGCCGGCGAAAACCGCCAACGGGCGAAAATCGGGCCTGCAGCGCTCCTTTCCCGAGCTTATATCTCGGTAACCGTAAGTCGCAGCGACATGCGGTTTTCATTGATGGATACAGAAGAGATGGGCCTATCGTATGCAATAAGTTTTTTTCTTAGGTATATACCACGTGCAATGAAATAGCCTCTAATCTCGAGAAAACGGGCATTTTTTACACACTTCAGGAAAAACGTTGGCATTTGAAAATGATGCATTGGAATGACACGGGATGTATTTCACGGACTACAAGAGGATCTGAACTATTCAGAAAACATATATTTTTGCTCATTCACTCGCACATTTTTTTAATTAAACGCTTACAAATTGCGAGTTTTACGTGAAACAGGCACGCTCACCTTTACAACATCATAATATATTGATAACGTAGACTTATGGCTATAAGTCCTTAATGTATTGAAAGAGCACTCTTTTCTGATCAATATCCACCCAAAATATTTTCAAAAAGTCATCAAGGGCTCTAAGAAACAGAGCAATAATTATACCGTTTTCGACGCATTTTTACCGGTTGAGCGGCGGCGGCCGGACTTGAACGCGGCACCGGCGCAGTAATATTACCGTGTGCTTTATATTTTTCTAATACTCGCCATTCAGACGCTGACGGCGCGGCCGAGTGGATAAGATGCCAGTCTCCAAATCCGAGGGCGGATGGTTCGCGGCCGGTCAGCGACAAAGTTTTTCGCCCGAATTCGTCCCTAGGTAGCATTCGGCCAGCCGGCAACCGCCGAGAGGGCTGCGAATGTTACATTTTAACGAGCTGGTGTACCGTTAGTGATCGACTCAGCAACAAAGCATTCTTACTCTCAGATCAATATACCGAAAGCTGGCCATCTAGGGTATGAGTACTAAGTAGTGTATGGGCAGAGTAGATATGGGCAGGGTAGGGTATGGTTGGGTGACTGGTAGGATAGGGTAGAAGTTGGGTATGGGGCGGGTAGGGTATGGGCAGGGTAGGATAATGGCAGTGTTAGAGTATGGGCAGGGCAGGGTATGGGCAGGGCAGGGTATGGGCAGGGCAGAGTATGGTTAGGTGATGGGTAGGATAGGATAGAAGTTGGGTATGGGCAGGATAGGGTATGGGCAGGTAGGGTATGGACAGGGTAGGGTATGGGTAAGGACCCAAATAATACCAATAAAACGATTTTTAACCCAGCATAATGCATCCGTAAAACCAATTTAATCAAAACATAAAGTTATAGCGCAAAACATGCCATCTAGTCCTCTATTAATTTTATCTATCCTCTATTTAATTTTATCCTCTATTACATAATAAAGTAATGCTAACGGTATACTGCCTTCCCCCGCTATCTTATCCTCCTGCTTTCACTTTCTCTCATCTGACCAATTTCTAGTATATCGTTATGGGCGTCGATAACCACTACTGTCCGTACATCCCCCTCCCCAAGTCATCGTCACTGGCGCCATTTCTGAGAACATTTTTACGCTTACAAAATCCCCTCTTACCCCCATGTAACCCCTTTATAACCCCCGTCTCACCCTTTCACAGCGGTCTGGCGATGCACACATTCCACGGCAACTTCTTCGTCCGCTCCACGGACCTGCTGTCCCTGCCGAACGTCAGCCCCGACGCCGGGTTCGGGATACAGGTGTCGGTAGAAGAAGCCCTCAGCGACACCCATACGACGTGCTTCCAGGCGGCGCTGCTCTACACTTCGAGCAAGGGTAAATGGGGGATAGGGGGAGGATATTAAGGGGATAATAAGGGGATAGTAGAGGGATAATTAGGGTATAATAAGGGGATAGTAAGGGTATAATAGTAGGGGGTTAAAAGAGGGAATAGCACAGGAGTAGGTATGTAATGTAGAGGTTATATAGAGTAAAGATAGTGGGATGGGAAAGGGAATGGGATAGGGAGACAATGGGTTAGGAATTAGGATAGGAAAGAGAATATGAGTAGAGCAATGTGATCGGAAATTAATCGGATCTTAGATTTAGAGTAGTGGTTACATGGGAATGATTTTTTTACGTGAGTGATGATGATACGATTTATAATGTGAAAAGCGAGCTAGGAGGTAGACATGTGAAATAATGGTCCATTTATTATGATACTTAGAACACAAACTAAAAGTTTGGAATGTGACCATTGATTTCTGTGATGTTTATATGCTAGATGGCTCTCCCGACTCTCTCTCTCTCTCTCTCTCTCTCTCTCTCTCTCTCTCCCCTCTCTCTCTCCCTCTCTCTCTCTCTCCCCTCTCTCTCTCTCTCTCTCTCTCTTCCTCTTTCTTTCTTCATTACTCTTATTTCCATCTGTTATTTTCTTTTTCTCTTTCTCCCTCTTTCTCTCTTTCTCCTTTTCTTTCCCTCCTTTTTGTCTCTTTTCCTCTCTTCTCACCTCTTTTTTCTCTCCCCCTTCCTCACACACACTCTAACCCCCTCCCCCTCTTCCCCACTCAGGAGAGCGCCGTATCCGCGTTCACACGCTCTGCCTCCCTGTGACGCCCAACATGCACGAGGTCATCCAGGGAGCCGATCAGGAGGCCGTCACCAGTCTGCTCGCCAAGATGGGTTAGTATTTGGGACGAGGCAGGGGCCTGACTAGGAGGTATTTCGCCAAGATGGGTTTGTATGGGACGAGGCAGGGACCTGGCCACTGACCAGGTAGGGATCATCGCCAAAGTCTGTTGTGTTGTGAGTGGGACAGGGGGCGCTAGGGTGCATCTTTTAGCTTTCAGCCAAAATGGGTTAGTTGAGTTGCGGGCAGGGGTCTGGAAAGGATGTGTTAAAGGGACAGTATCATCGAAAAAAATCAATGTATGGAGCTGATTTTTTTTTACTAGCATTTCTTACTTTTCTGAATCAGAAAAACATAGTTTGAGGACCGAACTCGGTGAAAAATATTTTTTCATGAGCGAGTCATTTTCATGAGCGAACCACCACTACAAGCATGGCCGCCACTTTGGAAGCCTGCGAAATTACTACAGAACTGGCGCAGATAATAAATTATTGACGCTACGCTTACGCGGCCGCTCTTCTGATTGAGTTGTCGTTAGGGAAAGGCAGCATTAGGTATTGCCCAGAAGATATCACGTGACAAGCTGAAGGAATTCCTTCAAGCTGAAGGAATTCCTTTGTTGAGCCGCTAGAATCCGAAGGAAACAGCGGAAATTGCCTACGACTATTTAATGAATTTAACGGTGATGAATAAGTGCGAAAAACGTTTTGGCTTTATAAAATTTGATGAAATGACCAGGGTAAAAGTTTTATTACTGGCGGTCAATTCAAAACGGCGCAAACATTTAAACAGTGAAGATAGTGAAGCACGATTCAAAGTGTAGTACACCTTTCGTACTTTGAGCGGCGATAGCGGGATAACGGTGTGGAGCTTCAAGGATCGGTCTTCAGTTCCCGGACCAGAAAGGTGGGGCCTATGCAATGTCAAATTTCATCAAAATGGTGATACTGTCCCTTTAACCGGTCTGCTTGCCAAAATGAGTTCGTTTGAGTGGGACAGGGATGTGGCCAGGAGGCGTTTACGAGTGTGCTTGTAAAAATGGGCAAGTATAGGCCAGACGGAGTACTTTTTAGGCCATGTGTATCGGTATGCAAGGTAGCTAAAATGGGTTAGTTGGGGTGAGTGTAATTGTCTTGGTAGGAAGTATTTATCAGTCTCTTCGCCATTATGGGTTAGCTTAGGTGTGTAACTGCGCAAAAGGATGCATTTATCGCCTTCTCACAAAAGCCTAGTTTGCCTGTCTGTCTATCCGGTTGTAACTAACTCGCCCCTCTCTCCCCAGCCGTGGACCGGTGCCTCTCGTCCTCTCTCCCGGACGCGCGTGAGGCCGTCGTGAATGCCGTAATCGACTCTCTGGGAGCGTACCGGGCGACTCTGAGCTCCCCCGGGCCGGGATTGGAGGCTCCGAGGTCCCTGCAGCTGCTGCCACTGTTCGCGCTGGCGCTGATCAAACACCCGGCCTTCAGGTGGGTTTGTGGGGGAGAGGGAGGGAGGGAGGGGGAGGAAGGGAGAGGGGAGAGAGAGAGAGAGAGAGAGAGAGAGAGAGAGAGAGAGAGAGAGAGAGGGGGGAGGGTGAGGGAGGTAGATTAGAGAAGAGATGTGGAGTTCGGGAAATTCGGTGATAGAAACTCCTGCGTGAAGGTTTGGGAAATTTTTGGAAGCTTGAACGATGCAGCTACGAGACCACAGCATCGTTGCTTGACTTTGTAAATTGTGCGACTTCATTGTTCGGTCTTTGCCGTTTCATTTTTTCAATGCGCTATTAAACCCGAGTTCGAAGCAGTACTCTAGCGTTACATTACAACCAAAAACACACCAAACCACAAAGTTCCAATAAAGCGCAACTCGTAAGGTTGTCATGGATGAGAAAATACAGGTTTTCATATACCACAAACAGATACCAACCATGGAAAGCAATTTGTTTGGTGCACAGTTTCACCTCAGGCCCAATGTAAGTGTAGTTTCGCATAGTTCACACACATTCGCATTCTCGCAAGAGACATTGCCCGTACAACACCTTATCGCATTCTCCACGATTCACATTGGCATCAAACAAGCGAAACTGATTGCATATTGCTATACCGATTGATGACGCATTACGCTCATTTAGAAAACAAAGTTCCATAAATAGCACTGAAAACTACACCGAAACGCGGACGTACATACTATTCTAATACCATAACATCCGTTGGCAAAGATCTATTTTTGTAGAAATCTGTCGTGTGGTGAAACAAGAGGATCCTTTTTATCAAACCATGTTGACTGTTTTTTTTTTTTTCAACGCCACCTTCCTGGAGCTGGCATAAAACCTGTGAAAACCACAGTGCTACTGTGGTTATGACAGGCCTGGGACGTCGTCTATAGATGGCAGAGCCGGGCTGTCGCCCTATTGTGTCCATGTGTGTGGCGCGTGGATTCCTGTTGTTTTTTCTTTTGCTACGAAGACATCCTTCACTTTTTGTAGAAGGCCACGGTGTTTTTCTTCTTTTGTGGTTTTAGCATGGATGATATAACATGGATTATTATATCATCCATGGTTTTAGTTTCGTCTGTTTTATATTTCCATGTTCTTTTTTATATTCATTTTGTTGCGGTATTGTCGATTCATATTTCATTGCTTTAATCCCTGTTTTCTGTTCCATTCTCTTTTTGTTTTGTAGGACTTTATTTATTTTTCTGCTGACTTCTTTTTCGAGTGTTTGGCTCTGTTTGATGCCATCTTCTGCCGTACGCTCACAATCTTCGGGTATTTTCCTTGTTTGTTTCCCCACTCCTTTTTCTTCATTGCTTTTAATGTTTTTGTGTTCTTCTTGGTCTTCTTATGTATGTTCCTCAAGCTTCTTCCTTTTCATCATCATTTCTTCTTTTTACATTTTCTTCTGACCCTCTCTTCTCCCTTCACCTTGTTTCCTCCTCCTCTCTCTCCTCTATCCAGTCTTATCTTCCTCCTCCTTCTTCTTTGCCACCAGATCCCCAAACGCCCCCACCGTACAATCGGTCCACACCCAACAGCCAGGGAAACCTTTCCTGCATTTATAACTGGCCTCTTCGTAGCTCGTTCGTAGGCAGACCTCTCCCTCCTTACACTTGGGTTTACACGTATCTGGAGGCGCGGCTATTGATACCGGCTCCTTTCTTGGTTTACATACCAGCCACGGAGGACACTTGCAACTCAGTTCACCACATCTCCATCTTGTTTGCTCGCAAACGTGTGTTGGAGGACACTCGGGATAACACGTGCGTGCTAGACAGCACGTATCTCCTTTGTAAAGAGCGCAGTATTGGCCTGGGCCGCAGGTTCCACTTTTGGAGCATTGTGGAGCGGGTGGAACGCCCGGTGGAATGTAGGGGGTCATGTCGAGTGGAGCAGGTGGAGCGGCGAATGTGGAAGGTGGAAGTGTGTGGAAGATAGTTAGGATGGCGATGGAAAGGAAGGAGATGGGAAGGGGTTGATTCAAAGTCATGGTTTGGTGGTGGAGAGTTGTTACGGGTTTTAGGAATGTTGTCCTTGGGATATGATTAGAGTAGAGTTGTAGAGATGACGAGCGAAAGAGAGAGGGGTATCTCCCTCGACGAGAGCTTCGCAGAGTGGATAGACCTCGCTTGGAGAAAGAGTAGTATCGTCCACGAAGATAGATGTGTTGAGAGCTCTGTTCCGCACTAGGAGAGAGTGGTGTTGCTGTAGACGAGAGCTTCGCACAGTTTCGAACCCCTCCTGGGGAGAGTGATATCCACACTTAACGAGAGCTGTTGAGAAAGAGTGGAGGAGGAGGTGTCACTCCAGCCCCACACTGAGGGTAACTAACTACTGACGTGTGACGCGGGGACTTCATAACAGGGTGGCACTGAGGGTGTATGAGCTGTCACGCGGCTGGGGTCCGCTCGGTGTGACAGACAGGGGTGTGACAGACAGGGGTGTGACAGACAGACACAGGTGTCGTGGCGGACGGATGGATGATGAAATACATCTGACTCAGAGAATGGTTAGGATCAGGGCTGCGGAGTCGATGGATTTTCGGCGACTCCGACTCCGACTCCGACTCCGGCTTTCAAAAACCAGCTCCGACTCCGACTCCGACTCCGGGCAGAATTGTCGACTCCGACCGACTCCAACTCCCGACTCCGACTCCGCAGACCTAGCAGGGCTGCGGAGTCGACAGATTTTCGGTGACTCCGACTCCGACTCCGGCTCGGGTTTCTAAAATCGACTCCGACTTCGACTCCGACTCCGGTCGCAACTGTCGACTCCGACCGACTCCGACTCCGACTCCGACTCCGCAGCCCTGGTTAGTAGGATGGTTGGTGTTCTGAGTGACTAGTAGAATGGATGAAAGTGTGACATACAGACAACGATTATGGAAGACTGAAAGAAACAAGGATATGCTTACCAAGGACTATGACTGGCTAACAAGCTGTCAGGCCTCAGTACAATTGAAGTAGGTATCCAACGATGCCGGGGCATGCCTTTCAAAACGGGTTTAATCTTTCTCCCGTTGTTAGACCATGGTTGGTTTTCATTTTCATGTTTGGTTTTTCTACATATTCAGATTCGAGGAAAATCAAATACTTTATCACAAAATAACGTGCAAAAGAAAATATTCCATCAGTGCTTTTATTCATTGCTTTTTTGTCGATTCTTGAATTACTTTGCTTTTGTGGTTAATCACGACTTTCGAGTTTCGACCCATCCATTTGTCATCGGCCACTGCCCCCCTCCCCCCTCCTGGTCCGACGTCCTCTTGTGATTCAGGGTAGGTGACCTTTCGCCCTCCCCCCTCCCGCCCCACCCGCCGGTTGTCATTCGTGCCTCGGACGGTGAGTTGGATATGAGTAATCCCACCTGTGTTTTAGTCGTTAAGTCAAAGGTAAAGATAAAAACACTATGTACAGCGAAGAGCCACAGTGTTCCCCCTTTTTGAATCATTTCTACCGCCCAATAGGTACTCAGAAGTCAGACGTAGTTGTCTCTCGTTGTAGACCGAACTCACTTCGCACTTCCTCAGCGACTTTGAGGCGATATTTTGTCTTCTCATTAGACTGAGCAAGTGTGGTGTACCAACAACCTGGTCTTCTTACCGGTAGCTATATTGGCTTTGACAGGTGGTAGAGTCTACTAAGTAGACAATAGCCCCAAGCACTGAGTAGAATCTCAGGAAATTTAGATGCTGCTTTCTACATGGCGATGAACATTCTATTATCGACCTTGAAGCTAACCCATCGTCACGCGATTTCTAATTCCTCGTGATAGGACGCGTTCGCCCTCTCTTTTGGGATGGCTCATTTACAGAGGTGACAGTATTTTAAAATCTATTTTCTGCGATAAGTTCAATTATGGTTCAATGGATAATCTCTTTGCCTTGATGTACTCAATTGACTTTGAGTCAGTAGCTCTAATGGGACAGAGCTCTGCCGGATAACCTAACCTAACTCAAACAACCAAAGCTAACCAAGCAACTTTGAAAACAATACTCCACATAATTTTCGCCTTCAAAAAAATGATATAGAAGCTGACTGATCCTCGCAATGTCCGTAGCAGATCAAACTTCGGTGAAATGAGAGAAGTGACAACAACGACCTTTGTTCTAACATAAAACACAGGGTGTCCGTTGTCGTACAGAACACCTGATAGAAGGCAGCCCAAAGGAAGCTGGACTATTGACATTGGCGTCTTGTTACCAATCCAACACTGCCTGGGTGTATGACCCAGTGATGGTGCTGATATCACTGAAATCAGACGTGCTGCATTTCAGCAGGTCGCTCTTAAAATATCTACTTTTCGTCGCGTCTATGCGATAAAAAGTCTTGGCTTCATACGTCAGTGGTTGGCTTTGTGTCAAACCGGAGGATCTCAAATGTACAGATACCGTAGCAGTGGACACATTTTATAGGTGTGATCTCATTTTGTGGGATATAATAGCACACAACTGAAATGAATTCGACACGTTCTATAGTTCGACACAGAGTTCTATACCATTGAACATGTCTCAGCGATAGAAGATAATATTATTGGATGGTTGAGAGGAGGATATATTTCACAGATAATGAAACCCTGACGGCGTGAAGTGAACTTGTTGATGTCTGCTGCACTGTGAAGATTATAAGGGTACCCTCTGTTGGGACGCTCAAAGACAGCTCTAATTTCAAGCTCTATAGCTCGGGTATCTCGCTTCAGAGCCTTGTGGCACGGCTGGTTGGGTGCTTTGTCTATAGTCTGTTCCATATCAAGTTTGCAGTCGGATTTTCTTCGGCAGATCGCTCCTCCGCTCAAGAATTTGCGTCTTAAAATGTAAGAGCTGTATATACAGAAATCACGCACTGCTTTCAGCAGGGCACTTCGGCTGCAAGCTTGAAACGGAACAAAGTATAGATGCGTCTGATGTGAATGATCGTAGGGTTAGGTGTCTGGTGGAACAAGAGTGTCTTGTAATTACATAGACGGGGTGCACTGGGTCTCTCTCTCTCTCTCTCTCTCTCTCTCTCTCTCTCTCTCTCTCTCTCTCTCTCTCTCTCTCTCTCTCTCTCTCTCCCTCTCTCCCTCTCTCCCTCTCTCTCTCTCTCTCTCTCTCTCTCTCTCTCTCTCTCTCAATTTTCTACTAGGTAATACATGGGTGTAGCGTATAGCCCCTTCCCTCGCATCTTACGTCAGCTCTTCATTTATTCCCTCTTCACCCTCCTTTCTTCTCTCTGTCTCATCTGGTCTACATCTAACCTCCCCCTCGTGTTTCACAGGTCCGGATTCAGCACCAAACTGGACGAGCGATCCTACGCCATGACCCAACTCAAGTGTCTGCCGCTGGCTCAGCTGATGATGTCGGTACATCCCAACCTGTACGCCGTGCACCTGCTCAACGACGAGGTGAGGCGCCACAAAAGAAAAAAGAAAATGGTCAGAGCAATATGGCGGAGGAGATGTTTTTGTTTTTGAGTGGGAATGTTAAAATTCTAGGCGATCTTTTGACGTTGGTAATTCATCTTTTGATTTTTTTACAGATGTTTTTATTACGGGTTTTGCCAATGTAAAAGGTGTCCTGTCCTCTGAATGTCATATAGGGTCTGTTGGTAAGATCCTCCCGTGACTCGGCATTTCTGTGGTATTCTGAAAATATCCTGTTCTCAAAGATGTCAGTACGTTTTTGTGTCGGTAATTTATCTGGACAAAAGAACCTCATCCAATATCAAATGTCACTATCTCTCAATAGCGTTTGTAGTTCTCAAACCTACGTGGCTATTAATTCCACACAGTAAGAAAGACACATTGTACTAGAGAGACGTAGTGTCCTATTCCATAAATATCTACGGCGGAAACTCTACGACGCACATAGTTCGGATGTTTGTGGAATGCATAGGAATCCTGCGGGAGACGGGGACATATATTTGTGTAGAACGCTCGAAAAGTGTCAGCTGCTTAAAGTTTAGAGGGATCGGCACCTAGAAATATAATTAATATTGCCTTAGCTGTCGAAATGTATATCAGTATGGTGGAATTTCCAGCAAAATAAAGTTACTTTGAAAATCGTTTAGACAAAATTGCTTAAATGACGTATTTTTGTGCCTGATAAAAGCGGGCTTATCGAAGTTTTTCGACGAATCCCCTTCCTAATCATTTTAAATCCTAACCAATGCAATATTCTTATTAATAACTTCATCGGCCAACCAATTCTGCACCAGGAACGTATCCAAGGGGGGGCGACGGGGGCGGTCGCCCCTCCCTGGGCCCTGCCGGGCCCCCAAAGCGGGCCCGAAGGGCCCGCTTTTGGGCCTAGCCAGGGACAGTTTGGGCCCAGCAGGGCCAAAAAGCGAAAGGGCATGTTCAGAAGGATTTGTTTGAGCCTTCGGGTTCAGTGATGGGCCCCTGGGGCCCTGCCGGGCCACAAACTGGTCCGTAACTGGGCCCTTCGGTCCCACTTTTGGTCATAGCCAGGGCAATTTGGAGCCCAGCAGGGCCCCAAAAGCGGAAGGACCCGTTCAGAAGGATATGGCCGTGTCTTCAGGCTTGAGGAAGGGCCCCTTTAGCCCTGCCGGGCCCAAACCTTATCGGTTTTGGACCCCAAATCCTTATCGGGTCCGAAGGTCCTACTTTTGAGCTAATTGGCCCTGGAGAAGTTATGGAAACCGGATCCGAAAAAATCTTCTTCCGAGGCCAGTCACTGGGACGTCTTTGCCTGTCTGGGTCCTAGAAGTGGAAGGGCCCGCTGAGAAGATCTTGCCCAGGCTTCCGGGTCCAAAAAGGGCCCCGTGGGCCTTGCTGGTGCCCATACGGGACGAGCCCCAAAAGCGGACCGGGCCAAGCCAATGAAAACCTGGGACCCAGGACGCCTCAAAAAGCGGAAAAGTCTGTACAGAAGGCCTTGAACCAGGCTTTTGAGCTTGAATAATGGGCCCTTGACCTCGACAATGTACCTAGTACCTACCAAGAAAACGGGCCTAGATATGCGCTTCAGGGCCCAGTCTCAGGAACAGCTTGTCCTGGCCGGGCCCCAAAAACGGAAGGGCCCGCTGAGAAGGCCTTGCCAAGGCCATCGGGCCCGAGGAACAGGCAACAGCCGATGAAGGGCCCCTTTCAACTGACCCGACGTGGGACTGCTCCTGTTCTCCAAACAAAATCAACTCCATAGTTCACACTACATACATTCAGCATTCTGTACAGAACGTAGTCTCAAATTCGCATGTTTTTTTTATTTGAGCTGCTCATTAAATTGATTTCATAGTTGAACTGACAAAAATGAGTAATATGTTAGCGTGAGCAGCACAACACAATGGGTGAATGGGTGAACAATGCAACCCAAATCTCCCCGGCCGGGGAGCCGGGAGGTATACCCCAGCTCTCCCCGGGCCGGGGCGTTTGGCCCGTTACCCCGTCCCGGCTTGGCCAGACGGGCCACGCAAATGCACCAATGCGTGAAGGAAGGTGTAAACTGTTTATGTTTGTGTATAGGACCAAATATGTTTTAAGGGTGCTATGCCCCATGGTGTTATAAGGCAGAGGAAATTACAATGCTGTAAATATATGGAAATGAGTCTGAAAAGTATCGTTTGCCAATTTTAGTGGGGTGCAAAGAGGTAATACAAGATTAATAACTCATGTTCATAATGTTAACCCACGCCGTGCTTGTGGCCTGAGTTTTCCTTGTCGTGCTGGGGGGGGGGGGTCACGCCCCCATCTAACTCGGCTCCTGGGCCACGTAGTGACACGCAGTAAGCGACAATCGAAAAAGCGTAAAAATAATGTCAGAAATGCCTCAATCATTTTTAAGGTCAGGTCAAAGCGGTCCTTAGGCAAATAAAAAAATCCGGCTTGCGGCTATTTTTCCGATGGTAAAACTGGCCTCTGGTATACAAAAAAATTGGCGGCGCGTTTTTACCATATTCACGAACAACCTGAGAGGGGGGACGTGAATACGCTCCCCCTAGCACGGCGCGGGTGAACGAAATTCAAAGGAAGTGGATTGCAAAAACGAACTTCAACGAAAGTTAAATGCAAACATTTTATCAAGGTCGACAAACCCAAGACAATGCATTTTCATTTGCAATATGCCGAATTCTATCGTAAATTCACTGTTTTTCGACATTCTCAATTTTTCACACCAGGATAGACACTCAAGACAGTCTCCATGTGGGGCCCCTTTGAGCTGACCCACGGGCCCCTTCTCGGCTGTCGCCCCTCCCTGAGCGAAATCCTGGATACGTGCCTGTTCTGCACTGCTAATTTTAGCATCCATTTCTTCCATTCCTACGTCGTCATTTTCCCACTCCCACCCCCGCACCGTTGTGAGGCGAGGGTAATGCCACGTTGTGTCTCCAAGTCCCTAGCCTTTTATAATATCACGTCAAACTCCCATCTCATCTCAAAGGGTCACACGTCGGCCAGAAAATGACGTCACGTCCAGGTCTTAATGACGTCACGAAGACGGTATAAAGTGACGTCAGCCGCGGTGGTGGTCTCTGTATTGATTGTCACGTGGTTGGGAAGTGGCGAGGTTTGGTGGTCACGTGGTGTGGTTAGGTGGGGAAGTGATAAGGTCACGTGGTGTAAGGGTAATGGTGAGGAGGTGGTTACGTAATTCGAAAGCCGGCTGAAAGAAGTTCTAAGTGACGCTGAATCATTATTCTGTTAGATATATTCTTTAAGTTTTCTCGAGACTTCGTAGCAATATTTCCCGATCTAATGTGTCTTTTCTATAATCGGAATGTAAAGAAAGGCACTGAGAGAACAGAGAGATAATAAAATGTATTGGGGAGCGGTTACGCCGCTGCCTTTTTAGCTTCATTATAAGAGGCTGTTCAAAATGTTTACAACGCCTCCCTGTATTTATGTCTTTCTGTTCACTGTTGACTTCCGGTAGACGAGCTTACTAGTTCGCCAAAAGTCGCGTTCACGGGCATTTTACCAAGTGCACGTCTTAACCGTCCTAACCGGGTTTTCGCTGAGTTCATAGAGGGTTATTTTGCCAAGCACATACTGGAGTGATTAAACGTAAGCTGTGTTATATGGTACGCTCAACGAAACATATCGTGGCGCTTGTAGGTAGAATCAACTGTTGGGTCTTCAATCTTGTACAATTTGCGCATTCAATGGGCCTCAAAAGCAATACTTCATCTTCTCAGCACATTCCTGCTTCATCGAGAATCGATACGCCTCACCGCTATACTTCCGCATCAAGATCTACGAAGTACATGACGCATTACTAACCACTTAACCAGCGAAGAAAGCCTTCACGGCCTCAATGCCAATCCATTTGACCCAACATGACCATATGATGTGCGCTTTAGCCATAAGGCTTCCGCCAAAACTCGGTCTTTTGTTGATAGGTCATCACAATTCGTCCTTCTGGTCATCATCATAAAACTTGTAGCTGCGGCTGAAAATAATGTGAGAAAATACTGATGTATTGTGTTTTGGTGTTTGGCTTTTTGTGCGTTGTCGGGGGTTCATTAAATCGATTATCAAGTTACGTTGTGTGTATTCATCCGTCATGTGAGGTTGGGGTCATGGGTAGCGAGGAAATTCGCTATAAGGAGGGCAGTGCAGTTAAGTTTAAACGAGTTTGGTATGGGGCGGGGGCTGATGATATTCCAAAGCATGCAAACATCGGCTAACATCCTTGGTGATTCACGCGCTTGGCTATCGGTCTATTAGCTTGCAAATGCAGCCGGTTGGCTCAGTGTTGGCTCAATATGTTAGCTCACATCCTGATGGCCCGCAACTCTGGCTCTCGGTCTATTAGCTCTCATTATTACACTTGGATCCTGGGCCCAATCTTACCAATGCCGTGAATAGGCAAAATGCCGTGAATGGAGCCCATTCACGGCAACGGCATATTACCAATGCCGTGGATAGCTATTCACGCCATCTCATTCACGGCATGCGGTCGATGTTTATCCACGGCATTTTGGCAGTGCTTTAACATGGGCAGTGGCACAAGCTGCCGCGAGAGCGGCAGAACAAACGTAAATAATCAGCTGTTTGCGCTGTCGGTGGCCGTTCCATTCACGCCACCTTTTAGTGCCGTGAATGGCGGGTGTTGTGAAAGGGATAGGTCGCTGGGAGGATGTTACTATGCAATATTTGACATTATTATTATTTTTTAAGTAAAGAATTCTTCATATAATGCCCTTGACATCTTAGAGCGACGATTACACGCATAGTGATTATTTCAAAAACATGTTTTTCCAGGGATAAAATCACACTCAAATCCATAAAAATAAACATGTTTATTCATTATATGGTCTTATTTTTCAAATCCATACGAGATCGTGGAGGCGATTTTAGCACCTGGGCCCAATCTTACCAATGCCAAACCTATCTATATGCTATAATATGGGTGTTTCAGTGTTCACCCCGTCCGGACGTCTCACAAACATACTTCATGATTTCTAAGTAAATATTTAAAACAATTAAATACCGTAAACTTGTTAAACAATTATATCAGCACTCACAATGCATATTTTACCACTTTCTGTCTGGCACAGACAGCTACGAAGCATGCTGTCTTCATGCGTCTCAATCTGACTTCTGAACTGGAAGCCTTTTTCTTGATATGGTTTTGAGATGTAGAAGAGTTTCTTCAATATTTTGAGGAATTCCTTTTCTTATCATGCTTGTCAGGGCTGCGGAGTCGATGGATTTTCGGCGACTCCGACTCCGACTCCGACTCCGGCTTTCAAAAACCAGCTCCGACTCCGACTCCGACTCCGGGCAGAATTGTCGACTCCGACCGACTCCAACTCCCGACTCCGACTCCGCAGACCTAGCAGGGCTGCGGAGTCGACAGATTTTCGGTGACTCCGACTCCGACTCCGGCTCGGGTTTCTAAAATCGACTCCGACTCCGACTCCGGTCACAACTGTCGACTCCGACCGACTCCGACTCCGACTCCGACTCCGACTCCACAACCCTGATGCTTGTAAAAAGCAGAAAAATAAGGCTATAGCTTGAGCTGGCCCGGTGCATGAACCCAAAGTTTAAACTTTACAAGCTGCATTTCAATTGCATTATTCCAATGACTTAAAAACAGCAGCGGAGCTATCACTAGGTCGTTACTTCAATAATTTTATCTAAAAATTGTTGCAATATCTTAACAGCAAGTAAATAGAAATGATGAGTTGCGACACGAAGTTGAAAACTAATCCACTCGATTTTCTCAGCGCAAGAATGTCCTCGCGGAAGTTTATTAGGCCAGTAATCCGCTTTTCAGGAGAATTCTTTAAGCAGGCTTTAGTTTTTCATAGTTTGCTATCACGTTTTCCACAAATAACTTATCCTTCACACATATATATGTCTCTAAAACAAATAAACGCCCGACAAAACTTTAAATAGAGAGCTATACCTGTTACAAGCAATACGCACAATTTCCAACAGCGAAGGTGACAAGAATTGACCAATCACATTGCGTGTTTTCTGCTGGCGCTGAATTGTACCGTGGGCAAAATGCGGTGAATAGAAATGCCGTGGTACGGCATTGGTAAGATTGGGTAAATGCAGTGCCGTGGATCAGCCGCCGTGGTTGGCATCCACGGCCTCTGCATCCACGGCATTGGTAAGATTGGGCCCTGGTCCGTTACCTTACGATCTATTCACTCAGCCTGTTGACTAGCAAGTCTAGTTCCCGATTTGTTACCTCAGCTCAACCTGTTAATTCGACCTATTAGCCCGACCCCCCCCCCCCCCATCCAACGTACCCTCTACCCCTCCAGACAAAAACCCATCAGACGACGACCTCCGCCGCCACAGCCGCCAGGCCAATTTACCCTGATAGCTTCCAGTACCACCAAACGCTCGACAGCTTAGCAGAGATTAAACAGAACCAGTGGGGCCATGAGAGAATTCCAGTCACGTGGCCAGTTGGCCAGGGCACCGCCGGATAGTGATATTGGTGTGGTTAGGTGGTGGAATGGGTGGGGCGCAGCAAAGCTGTCACGTGTGGGGCGGAAAAGAGGTGACCTTTGGTGTAAGGTCGGCTGAGGAGGGATGGTTTATGTAATAAGTGCGGTGTTTGTCTATAAAAACTGAGTTTGGACCTACCAATGAAGTTTGTGATGAAAATGATCGCACAATCCCCTGCTCACCCTCCCCCCCCCCCTCCTTATCCCTCCTCAGTTTGCCCTGACCATGTCACCGTACCCTCTACTACAAACTTGCATTGGCTGTTGTTGTGCGCTATCACAACGAATGACGATAATAATGCTTGATGATAATCGCTTGATAGCTTGATGACAATCATCATTCAGGAGCAGGAGCATTGTCATCATTATCTTCTTCATCATAATCATTATTATCGCTGCTTCGACACTAAAAAAGAAAGAAAAAAATACACATTACCAGGCCGAAGGAGCCCCTTTTCACCCCTTCAACCAACTTCAACCTTTACACCTCTGACCTCTCCCTATTTTTCTCTATTTCAGGGCGCCGTCGAACAAGAGGACATCGTCATTCCCCAGCCTCCACGTCTTCAGCTCTCATCAGAGTTCATAGACTCATCTGGAGTGTATCTGATGGACTGCCTGGATGTGATCTACATCATGGTCGGAAGCAGGGCCGACCAGGGGTACCTGCAGGCAGCGCTGGGGGTCAACATGGCGGCAGAGCTGCCGGCAGAGATGGTGAGAGGGGAGAGAGGGAGGGAGGGGAGGGAGGGGAGGGGAGGGAGGGTAGGGAGAGAGAGAGGGAGAGGGAGGTAGGGAGAGAGAGGAGGGAGGGATGGAGGGATTGCTAAGGGATGTGTATTGTGTACCTATGCTGAAAATGGTAAACCGATTCATAGTTATTGGAGCTGCTATTTTGAGATCGCTTGAAGTTGAAAGCTAGGCCAATAACAACTAGGAACTTATTTAAATTTCAAAGGAGGAGCGGATATTTGCTCTAGAAAATCCCGCCAGAGTTTCACCCAAATCATGACCTCGATGAAAACGTTTAGCGTTTCGGTCGGATTCCACAATACCAAAGTCTACCAAAGTTACCAAAGTTATTGAATAGATAACGGCTATTTATAATATTCCAAACAAACTCACTGTAGCTCTGTTCAGAAATGAGAAAATATAAGAGTTGAACCAGCGAAATACCAATAAACTGTTCATCATTCAAATGAAGTTCCGTTATGTAATCTAAGTAGACACTTATATTCTGTTTAGCCGGTTTCTGTAGTGTCAGACATCGAGACCAGCAGCCCAGAAGCTCCCTTCTTGTCTCCCTTCACGCCCCAGTGCGTTCAGACAGGCCTATTATCCACCACGATACAGTTGTGCGTCTTCGCTTCTAATAAACGTCAGCTTAGTTAGGCAAACGGATGTCGTGAATGCAGCAGAGTCGGGCTGATGAATAATTCATAAATGTCTACGAGCCTGGTAGCTCACTGTTGCTGAGATACTGTGACGTCATAGGTATGCGATACCACCAAAGTTCTCAAAATGATGTTTTTCTGTTTGGTGCCAGTGTGATAATTTTTAGCATTCAAGAGGATGGGAAAAGCAAATTGTTATTCAGACGTTTCGTTGAAATTTTTGAAGTTTACGAATGCTGTTCTGGTTTATGTGGCGTCACGTTACAAAACAATTCGCAAATCATTGCGATAGCTCTTAATATGTATTAACCCTATTAGTGGCAGGCTCCTGGCTACCCCTATTAGTGGCAAGGGGGGGCTGTTTACGACCCCCCCCCCCCCCCTGATATCTCGAGATCTAACGGGCCGATTTTCAAAATTTAAACGGCATTCGATTTCGCTCAATGTGATCTACATTTCTAAAAAATAAAAATTAAAAAATCTCAATGGGCGTAGAGGGGGGGTAAAAATGGGCAAATTGCAGATACATTTTAGACTGTTTATCACGGCCAGGTTTCTGCACCAATCTTAACGCAACTTTTGCCGATCGATAGAGAATGAACCAGGAATTCACATGGATCTGAAAAATATGCATTTTCAAAAATCATAGGCGGATACAGATAATTGAGATTGGGGGTACACAAAAAGTATAGTAAATAAGGTTTTTGTTGGTACTGTTTCTAAAAAGGGTGGTAATGGTCTTGTTATGTTACAATTTTCTTATGAGAGAACGACTACAATTGTATTGGTCATGCATAGGCGGTGTCAGGGCACCTATGTTGGGAGGTAAAAAATAACCCCCCTTTTTGGACGCCTGGATCCGCCTATTATAGCAAAAACGTGTCAAAAGAGGATGCACAATAACTTTGTATATGTTATCACATGATACCTTTCATTCACTGTTCGTAAAACTGGTGCATACAGTTATATGTAATACATCAGCATCGTGATCTTCGCCCAAATGACTCGCTTCACGAATAGGACCCCCCAATTCCCAGTGCTCTGGAGCCGCCCCTGGTAAAGTTATGAACTTGATCAGGGAATGTGCCCAATTTAGTTTTAGGAAAAGTCAGAAAATTTCAGCATCGTAGCTTTAGCGGTTTCGGAGATATTCCCGAAAAACCTGAGGGGTGGATGAAAACAACCCCCCCCCCCCCCTGCCACTAATAGGGTTAACCCTCGCCGGCCGAGGGGGGGGGCGGGTGCCGCCCCCCCCCCCCCCATAGGTTTTTTTCGCGATAGCTCCGAACACGCTGGCGATAGAGAGCTGAAACTTGGCATACCTGACCTTTGATCCAAGCCGCATCTTTTGACACCAACCGCATTTTTGGGTCAGGTCAGGTCACTGACCTATGACGTCATAAGTGAACCTCTGCACGGTCTTCAGATGTCGCAACTTCGCAACGCCCTCACTGCCAGAGGAGATGTCACAGGGAAATGAAACTTGCAGGATCTAGTATCCATTATGAGTCCCACAACTTGTATATCTCGGATTTTTCCTAAAGGTCATATGAGGTCAGGTCATTTTCGTGACCTCACCATTATAAGTCAATGGGGAAAAATGAAAACTGCTATTCTGGCGCCGGGAACGATCTCCAACTATCTCAAGCACACAGAATCGTGATTTGATGCACTCCTTGCAAGGTTAGATGCGTCACTTTTGCAATGTTGACCTTGCGTGACGTCATTTATGACGTCATCAAGGTCAAATTAGTTTTTCGTCAATAACTCTTGATCAAATTGAGCTAGCGAGTCGGGGAAGGCACCAATGGACTCAGGAAGGCCTGCCGAATCGAATGATATGCGACATGACCTCTTTCGACCAACTTCGTGACCTGGGGGTGCTGACCTGACCTTGACCTGAGGTCAACACCCCAAGTTGACCTGACCCGGACAAAAAGTATATCATTCGACGCGCCTGAGCGAGGCGAACACGATGCTGCCAAAATCGGCGCTCTGCGGCCATTTTTTGCGAAGTTATTCACCAAAAACTGAACCGTACCTTGGGGCACTTGACCTGACCTCAGAGGTCACCGGTTGACCTAGGACCTTAAAATCGGGTACCAATCTCTGCGTCTTGTAACGGCGCACACGCTCGTTTTTTCCGCGACGCGCTAGCTCCACCAGGGGCGAAACGGCGAGGGGGGGTCGTACCCGCCCCCCCCCCTCGGCCGGCGCGTATGTAGAAAACCAATAGGTCCGGCGAGGGTTAAAGCATTCGTGCTAGTGCGCTTGATAACCTTTCTGTACTGTAGCGCCCACCCAAAAGCTCCAACAACACACAAGCATTCGTGCTAACAGTGAATGTTTCTCTCCTTGGCTTGGGAGAAAATCGAATGATAAAAGTTGTGTTTGTCAGCAGTGCAGCTACAATGTATTAATTTCCCCATTTGTCTGTCAGCCTGTCATCTGTTAATTCATCGGTCTTTTCGTCAAGCCCGTTCCGTTTGTCTTTTTATGAACCCCACGTGCGGGTATTGCCTGCATGCCTCATATATCCTACATAATATCCCCGCAGAGCCCCAAAGACAGGCAACGTATATATCACCCCACATATGACCTTACTCCGTAGAAATTCCCAGACTATCAAGCACCTCAGCCACCTGATTCTTAGAATTCCAAACAGAGCTCATACGCTCGCCTCGGGGGCCCTCTGGGGACCCACGAGGGTCTTTTGTGGGCCCTTGAGATGGCATAACCGCCCGCGTTTTAAATGGGACACTCTAAATCAACGACTGTTATGTGTTGGATATATTTATTCAGTGAAGCGTTATAGCGGCGAGTTAAGGCTAACTTTGATATTCTCTGGTGAGAGGTACCTGAGAATTGGCATCTCGAGACGGTTTGGTAAAGTGTGTACTGAAATAGAGGGCCTGTGAGGGGGTTTGTATTGGACGCTCCCGGAGGGTAAAATGGTTGGAATTTATGGATTCGTTGAGCGTATTAGAGCGACAAGGGCTATTCCAAAAACTTGGGGAATATGATGCATGTACGAGCCATTCTGTGATGTGCATACCGTCCTACCGCAAAGTAGGTGTTGTTTGCCTTATAGATGTTGGTTTACTCGTATATGTTCAATGTCTATATTGTGGTTTGTGTCTATGGTTAATATGTGATATGTGATCTTCTGTTTTGTTTTCAATAACATGTGTTCTCGTCTGGTTTGTCTGTTTTGGCCGTTATCAGTTCTTAGTTCGTCTCAAGTATCCTCTGTAGGTAATCTATATAGTTTGATCTCGAAGTGTCTTGTGGCTGCTTCTTTCTGGCGACCGTCGCTAGTTACGGAGCGAGCGAAGCGAGCGTAGTCTTTCCTTAGATTAGCGGAAATTTCTGAGTATGAGCGGTTACACGCGGCAATTTTTGTAGGGTAGCTTCATTCCTTCTACCAAGTGTTGGACTATTCCCGATGCATGTGGGTGACCCCTTATGCACGTGCCACGTGCAAAACGAAGAGGTGTCCGTTTTGTAATTGTTGCAATATCTCGGTAACTACTTGGCCGATTGCGCTGAAAGTTGGCATGTAGGTAGGCACCCACTAGGCACTGCATATCCATGTGCCAGAGTTGGGGCGCTGCTGCACGTGCGCACGTGCAGGGGTCGTTTCCAGATCTCGAGAACGGCTCCACCGATTGCGCTCAAATTTGGTACACAGTTAGGGACCGGTTAGTAGGGTGCCGTGCGCAAGTCAGTTGGGACCCATTTTGCACGTGCGCACGTGCAGGGTGCCGCTTCCAGATCTCGAGAACGGCTGGGCCGATTGTGCCCAAATTTGGCACATCGCTAGAGACCGGTTAGTAGGGTGCCGTGCACAAGTCAGTTGGAGGTACCCCCTCGCAATTTCGCACGTGCAAGGCCCACCCTCTCGCTCGCTCCGTTAGTCGCCCCAAAAGGCGTTATACTGGTTTCATGTGCAATGCAACACAGCTTTTCACTTATCCCTCTGCTACCCTTTCACATGAAGATATGCAGGTTAGATGTGCCTTTGTAGACGCGCCTTTGTGTGCTGAAATTATATAATCACACTGTTTTGTTATACTTGAAAATGTTATCCACCCGCCGTAGCTTTGTTCTTATTGGACATCAAAGCTGCTTGTCTTCATTCCAATCTCATTGTGCTTTACACTCCAGTATCCGTTCCGTTTTCCTTTGAAAATATGTTTCCCTCCACAACAACAGTGTCAGAGTACATGTAAGGTCAAGTGCTGCTGCCCTCTCTAACGGGTTTGCTCTTCTGTAAGCCTCTCGGGACATGTTTTATGTCGGTATCCAATCATTTTGTTTGAAGCCATTGCTATGATTTCGCGCTAAAGCAAGTGTTGTTGTTTCTGAGTACCTCTTCAGTTTATTAAATCGTGTGATTACTGCCTTTGATCCTTATATTATGAAAAAGACGTTTACATATTTTAATGTTTAATGAATGTTTTCTGCTTGCTTTCAACGGCTGGGCTCAAATCTAACATCTGCCCGTTTTCAATCTGTGGCCTGTTTCACTAACAAATAAAGTGTGTAATTACAAAGAAAAAACTTGAGTTTAATAGAAATGTTTATCAACATTTGAAATTTGGATTTCACGAAACCTCCGAGCATGAATTTTGAGTTTAAAATTTACCAACTTTTTTACAAGAAAAAAGTTTGTAAGAAACATCGAAATCGCAAACTTTCTGTTTCACGAAGACCAAAAACTTGAAAGAAAACGTTGTACTTACAAACCCGAAATTCCAGTGGCTCTTATGTTCGGAATTTTATCACTTTTTGTGCAATGATGCAAAGCAATCAATTATTTAAAACAAATATGATATGCTGAGTCATTATATGCTCTTTTTTACTTAGCACAATCCCTACGAACCAGCTACGAGCAATAAAATAAATATCGTCATGTTTTGTCATCCGCGCGCCATAATTGCATTCAACTGTCTTCCGCTGTCACATGTTTTGCGTGTTGTTTTCTTTCAATAATAAGATGTTGTGAACTATCATTTATACCATTCAGAAACAGCATCATTATTTATAATTCATTCATGCATTTTTTACATGAATACTAGACATAATTTGATAAAAAGAAGCAATATCTGTAACATGTTATAGTTCTTGATTACAAACATCTTTACTGTTTACAAGTTTATTTGCAAACTCTTTTTATCGGAGGTGCCGCTGGTGATTAAGTTTGTTCAAACACTTGTAATAGCAAGTTTTTAGTGAAACAGGCCTCTGATATGACGTTTAAACTGACCCTGACGTGACTTCCCATCAAATCTGGATAGAAATTTGCGTTGCAATGTGATTTGATCTTTAACGCGGATTTCTAACCTGACCTTTAATTTGACCCTTTCCTTGACCTGATCTGATTGTGACCCCGTCCTGTTCGCAGTCAGAGTTACCATATCTGTCAGAGTTGTCATACCTTCTTGAGTTGTCATACCTGTCTTGAGTTGTCATATCTGTCTGTTCCACATACCTGATTTACTTGTCTGATTTGCCACGCTTTTGGACCATGAACTGGTTTCTGACCGACCTCTCCCTTGACCTTTAACCTTTGACCTATGATCTGAACAATGACTTCTGCCCTGTTCACAGTCTGAGCTACCAGTCTGAGCCGTGTCTACCATGACCTGACCTGACCTGACCTGACCTGACCCGTGTTCTCTACTCCGTTCACAGTCAGAGCTACCAGAGCTGGAAACGGACGAGAGCCGCCGTGTCTGCTATGACCTGACCTGACCTGACCCGTGTTCTCTACTCTGCCCACAGTCTGAGCTACCAGAGCTTGAAACGGACGAAAGCCGCCGCCTGCGTAGTTTCATCACCTTCCTACAGGCCACGAGGTCCTTCTGTGCCGCACTGCACATATTCAGGTAAGTTGGGTCACTTGACTATTCCGTTATCTCATCGGTCGGTCTGTCAACTGAGTTACCTAGCAGAACACTTATACGTACCTTCGCTTTATCGAGCAGTATTACATACACTGTTCTGAGACAAATCTACGCCGCGAAATATATAGTCTACGGTATGTCGTAGCCTATATATGACGTGTCTACGCTATATGCGGTTGCATATCAGACACTTTACCGAGCCATAGAACACTGTTATATGTGTAATACTCATGTTTGGCTTACAGCAAAGCTTGGCTGTTTTCAGGCTAACTTGTCCGTCAGCCGTGGTATGGGTTTCGTTTTGTATCGGCTTAGTAGGGTCTGAGCTCTAACAAATTTCGGAAAGTACGTCAGCTGTGCTATGGACACGCACTTCATAGTGCAGTTTTGATACAATACATTTTTTAACTACTCACTTCATTTTTTATTCAAATACGATTAATTTGAATCAAAACCATAGGCAGCGATGCGTTACAACGTTCTTTTTGCGATCAATGATCATGTATCACCTTCTCAGCTTCATTGACATAAAATTACCTCTTCGTTGCTTCCAAGCCTTTGTTTAAAAACCTGTCCAATCCACTTATATCACGTCGCAAACAATCACAGTGGCGACAAAGCACATCAAGTCGCTCTCTTATGTGGCGCTTTGCCGTGACATTTGAGACGGCACAATGCCAGACGCTTGATGTTTTTCGCTCTAAGCCTTCTCTTTTATTTGGTTAGCGTCGTTGCCGTCTCCCTGCAGGCTAGAGGTGAAATGAGAGTATTGTGTGCACAACAGCGATAAATTAAACCGGGTGTAGGCAGTGTGCTGGATGTAGGTTTGGTGGCATGTTTATTTTCCCCCGTGCAAAATCACGATGTGTGGTTTGCATTTCTGAGAAGTGAGATTTGCCTTCTAGTGAGTGGTTGTTTTGCTTCAATTCGTTGGTGTTGAACTTCAACACATTGTTTGACTTTGGAAATTTTTGTTTCGGGAGGTGGCATGCGTTCATACCTTCTGCTGTAGCGCTATTGATTGATAAAGTTGGTAGTCGATTCGATTGTGCCCATCGATAGTCAAGTCCATAATTCTACTTTCTTGGAGTTCTCATAGCAACAGGTAGCTAACTTTCGAGTAGATGTCTTGCGAGCGAGCGAGTACAGAGGACTGGTCGAAATAGAATCCAGAAAACAACATGACGCGGGAACCACGAATGGCCTATCTCCAATGTTCCACAGTGAAAGATCTCCAACCGTATGTTCGATACCACAGTGCAGACCAGGGGTGCGCCCCGGGTTTTTAACATTACGAAAAGTGGAGACACCTTCGCTAGCGCTGTCAGCACCGTGAACAACAAATGCAGTAATCCCACCAATCAGCGTATGTCAATACTAGACGCTCATTGGCTGATAAGCCAGTGACGATTTTGGGGGCCAGAGCGTAAGAGGTAACCTATAACAGCACGGGCCGTTCAGTTTAGGACTTGATTTTGATATGATTTAGGCCAGTCTGATAAAAACTCGGGTCGGTTATGAAAACTGCAATTCATTCTAGTAGTTGTCCAACAAGTCTTTTTGCTTTTTTCTGACATAATTCGTTGAAAAATGAGTTATTAGATGCGTACTCATGCCAAATTTGCCCCATTACCATGGCAACCTTAGTCTGTTTGGTCCCCAGAGTAGCGCGGTTACTAAATTCATTTTTGTCCCCAGTTTTTCGTCGGGAGCGTTCTACCTGGTTTACATAGCCTTGATGCAGACTAACTTAATAACAGCATCGTGCCAGAATGTCTCGATTCCCTCATTGCCGCCGCTACCGCCGCTGCCTTCCCTGCGTCTTGTGTAAGAGAGACTCCCGTCCGCCTCCTACCCGTACTCTCCCCAAGGGAGTAGCAATACGCCTATCTCTCAGTACTCCCCCAAGGGAGTAGCAATACGCCTATATCTCCCACCACTCCCTCATGGGAGACGCTGGTCGTGTCTACCTCCCGCGAGTGGTTATACTTGCCACATCCGTCAGTGCCTCCGCCGCCGACGCCGCCTCTGCCGCCCCGTACTCCTCCCCCCCCCTCCCAGCGCCCCCTGCTAGCCCCACCCCCACCCCACCCTGAGTCGGTGTCGGTGGTGGTGGAGGTGGCAACGTCGGATGCTACCACGTAAA